AAATCATCATCATCATCATTTTCGCCGTTAATTTTTTTTCGTTTTTTTCCAAAAAAAAAAAAAAACGAAAGAAAATTCTTGATTTTTTTTGGCTACTTAAATTCTCTCTCTCCCTCCACCATCATTTGCCAAAATGATCATTTTTTCATTTTCATCAAATACAATGTTACTAGCAAAAAAAAAACTCAAAATTTTTTTTCTCATCGATTCTCTCTCTCTCTCTCTCTCTCTCTGAACATAATTATTTTCAGGTTTTTTTTTAAAATCAGATTATACTTAATTGATGCTTATGGATGACGACCAGAAATTGAAAGAAAAACTTTGAAATTCCATCAAGTGACAAATACACACACACACACACATTCGCACAACCAAACCAAACCAAACCATACACCATCAATAACACTCCAAAATACACATTACAGGAAAATCTATAGCTCCCAAACCAAAAAAAAAAAAAAAAAATGATATATTTTGGAGTATGGTTGTTGTTTTTTTTCAGTGATGATCATCATCATCATCATCATCAAAAAATAAAGGAGGGAGTAATGGCGCAAACAAAACAAAAAAACGATACAAACGAAAAATGGCTGTATTTTTTTTCTGTCTGTCTCTGCTGCTGCTGTATCTTTTTTTTTGTCTCTGTCATTGAATGTTGTTAGGAGAATGATGACAAAACAAACCAACCAGTCAAACCAAACCAACTTGTCGAATCAATCAACAGAAGGTAAGGTTGTATGGAAGGAAAACATGAAACGAAACGAATGATTGATTCTTTTGCAAACTTTCAATTCAAATCAATCAAATCAATCGATCAAAATTTTGTTGTTTTTGATGTCGATTCTTTCATTCTGAAAAAAAATTCAGAATATTTTACAGCGGTAGCGGCAAAAACCAGAAAAATCGATAAAACATTGCGACAATTTTTCACCACCACCACCACCACCACCACCAAATTGATTTTCCTTGTCCCCCTTTTTCTCTGCCTCTCTATATATCAAAAAAAAAAAAAAAAAAAAAAAATTAAAAGTTTTTTAATGAGGATAATATGTATGTATGTGGTGTATGTTTATATCCTCAACAATCTTATCTTTGAAAAAAAAAGATTAAGTAAATGAGTAAATCTCTCTCTCTCTCTCTCTTTTTGTTTTTTTCTCTTGCTTACCATTCCTCCATCCATCCATCCAATACATCTAACGCCAAACCAACCAAATGATGGATATCCATTCATTCAAACAAACAAACATATCATATCATATCATTGCCGTGTATCGCGTTTACATTTTTTTTTTTCGTATTTTCGTGTTGTTGTTTTTTTCTCTCTCACAAATTTGATTTTTTTTTTCGTTTTTTTTTTGTTTTGTTTTGATCATTTCAAATCAACATCGATAAATTGTTGTTGTTGTTGTTGTTTGTTTGTTGTTGTCGTCGTGTTGTTGTTGATGATGAAAAACAACCAAAACATACACATAATATTCGAATGTTTTCTTCTTCGGTTTTACCATTGCAGAATATTTTGCAACAACAAAAATGAAGAATTTTTTTGCAAACAACAAATGGTGAATGAACGCCAGACAACAAACAAACAAATTAGCTGCTAATAAGCAACATGATGACGGCAAACCAAATGATTTAATTTAAAAAATGTGAATTTTTTTTTTTTTTTTTTTTTGGTGATAACGATGGTGAATAAAAATGGACAAATAATCACGAATTTCATTGGAATTTTGTTGGTTGGTTTGGTTGATTGTGTTTTCGCCCAAACTTTTTTTTTTATCTTTGCTGTTTGACATCATCATCATCATTCCGCGTTTGACTAAATGGATTAAAGTTTTAATAAAAACATTGACGTTCGAAATTGAAATTTTCAAATTGACGTTGTTCGAAATCGAAGTGAAATGTGATTTTTTTTCAATTGTAAAGTTTTTTTTGAATGAAATTTCGTCGCTGTAGAATGTTCTAGTCAAAAAACGAAAAGAATTTTCAAAATTTTTAACAAAAAAAAGGAATAATATCAACTCAACAAAGGAAACCTTCGAAATCACTCAATCAACCCAGCAATTTGAATCACATTGTTGTTAAAATAGTTTGTTTTTTTTGTGTGGGTTGTTTATCAATCGTTCGATCGATCGTTTGTTTGTTTGTTTGTTTTGTTTTGTTATTTTTTTGTTACATAATCATCAACGACAAAAAATTCTCAAATGAAAAAAAATGTAAATTTTTCAAAATTAAGTATGTTTTTATATATTTTGGATTTTAGATTTTTACATTACAATTTGAACAGGAAAAAAAAACAAGAAATTCCGAATGAAAAATTCTGTGTTGATTGATTGGTTTTAGTCAAAAATACTATGCACTGAAAGCTATATGATTGATAAATTTTGTTGATCAAAAATCAAAAATCAACCGACCAGCTGATGATCAATTGTAAAACAAACAAACATCTATATATATTGTGTTATATAGAACAAGAGAATCTTCCTTTTAATCTTCTCTCGCTATATAAAGTCCATTTAAATTTCATTCATTCATTCAATTTTCTATTTCCACGTGTTTATACATTGAAATACAAATATATGTTTCGACTATATTAACTTAATTGACTTTTAGTTTAACCAATACAAGAGATAATCAAGGAGACAAAAAAAACACTGTTACTGAAAACAGGAAAAACAAATATATTTTACGCGCATACAAACAAACAAGCAGAAAATAACACTTGCCCACTAACGCTGTTGAATATATTTTTGTCGTCGTCGTTTTTTTTTTGGGTTTTGTTTTTCCTCTTCAATATCCGAATATTGAAATGAAATGAATGGATGGTGTGTGTGTGCTGGGAGAATAGAGATGGATGGATGGATGGATAGATAGTGATGGCGAAAAAAAAATGACGACAACAAATATATTCAACAGAGAGAAGCGGCAACGACTAAGCGCATGTGAATTTTATATCCAGAAAATTTTGTAGCCAAAACTTTCCAACTCCAAACAAAATATCTTTTTGGAGAGGAAAAAGTGCAAGAGAGAGAGAGAGAGAGAGATATGGAAAGATGATGGTTGTGCAACCAAAAAAAAAAAAAATTATATATTTTTTTCTCTCTCTGTGTGTTTGTGTCCATCAAATGGCAAATATGACAATTTGATTATGAAAACAACAACAACAATCTGAAACACCGACTATAGAAAAATAAAATGTTGTTGTTTTTCCTTCAACAATTTTCATTAAAAATCATCATTTTTTAATGAAAATTTTATGCAATATTTATTTTTTATGTTTGTTTGATGGTGGTGGTGGTGGTGGTGGCCAATTCATTTCAGAATTTTGGAGTGAATTCAGTTGATGAATTTCTTTTGAAAATGATTTTTCACACCTTTTCTGGTTGGTTAATTATTTGACTGTGAAAAACGACAGCGACAACAACATCATTAAGTCTATTTTTGGTGACAAAAATTTTTGCCACCGAAAAAAAGTTTCTGCTTATTTTTCTTCATCTAAAATGGTTGGTATAATTTTTTTTATATTTCGGTTAATCCACCCTGGTGGATGGTTAGGTGTTAATCCTGTGTTTGTAACAACATGTGTTGTTTGCGTTTGGGGTCATAGTAATTTTGCACAAAAATGAACATTAAATCAATCAATAAATCAATCAATAAAAAATAGCTAATCATATTTTGATGATTAACGAGTATCACCACCATCGTCAAAGAGAGAAAAAAAAATTTTGTTTTGTTTTGTTTAACACTAAATGACGACAGGGTTTTTTTCTTCGTTCGTTTTCTTCATTAGTTTAATAAAATCCTTGAAAGGTATTCCAAAATAAAATATATTGATGAAAACATGAATAATTAAATGAAAAAAAAATTATAAACAAACAAACGAAAAAAAACAAAACAGGTTTTTGAATTTATCTCTCTTCTTCTTCTCTTAATTCTCTTTAATAATCATAATTTTCTTTAATCATTCATTAGCTATATGGGTTAATTTTGTTGTTTTTGATTGCAACAAATTAAACGAAGAAGAAAAACGATACAATATTTTATTCAACGTGTTCAAAAATGTACTTAAATTTTCTTTTCTTTATTTTCTTTCTTTTTCATTGAAAAAAAACAACTTTAATTTGCATCATCATTTTCCGTTCAAATCGAATCATTGATTGATTGATTGGATTGGATTGGAAACGCAACAATAGATTGTTAACGAACGGAGGGTTGCTGTGTTTGATATGGATAATATCCTCTCATTCCAATCATCATTATCAACAAAAACAACAAAAGAAAGTACAGAAATCAACTGCAGTGAATAATATTCGTATCAATTGAATCGAATTCATCAATCAATCAAACAAACAAACAATGATGGACGATGATCATTTGAAATATAAACCAAACAAATTATGTGGAATTTGTGGTGATAAAGCATTGGGTAGGTTTTCTTTTTTCAAAAAATCTTATTTCATTGTTTGAAAAGATGATTAATTTGTTTGATTTTATCAAACCGTTCCCCATACCCAACCAGGTTATAATTTTAATGCAATTACATGTGAAGCATGTAAAGCATTTTTTCGTCGAAATGCATTACGTACAAAAGATTTTAAATGTCCATTTGATGGTAATTGTAAAATTGATCTGGTCACTCGAAGATTTTGTCAAAAATGTCGTTTGAAAAAATGTTTCGATATTGGAATGAAAAAAGTAAATTTACGAAAAAGTTTTTTCTTGTTTGAATTTTTTTTAAAACCGGAAATTTTTCTTTTGTTTCAATTCTACCCACCCATTAGGAATGGATACTATCCGAAGAAGAAAAAAGGGTAAAACGAGATAAAATTATTGAAAATCGTCGAAAAAAAGAATCAACCACTTCTGGTCATCATAACCATCATCATAATCACCATAATCATCATCGTTTGATGATGATGAATGGAAATACTACCACTAGTAATGATGATGATGGTGATGATGATGATATAATAATGTCATCAATAACTAGTCAAAATAGTAATCATTCTGATGATAATAATTCATCATCAAATCATTCATTTATTGTTACTAATAATGATTCTATGAATAATAATAATAATAAAACTTTAATGAATATACCAATGGGTAATGGTAATGTTATTGTTACTCATAATAATCATCAAACTTCTCGGGCAATCAATATAGATTTTCAGGAAAATAGTCATCATCATCATCGTAATAATCAAAAGGAAAATTTTTTCAATTCTTTTTATCGATTCGATCATCATCAACAACAACAACAACAATATAAATGTCAACAAAATCTTTATTTATCTGGTAGATTTTTTCCACAATTTTCTTCAAGAATTTCGGAAAATAATAATAATAATGATGATTCATACTCAACAACAAAATTTTCAAATAACATTAAACCATCATCATCATCATCATCATCATTGAATCAATCTTATCAACCTAATAATCATTATAATCATCATTCTCTACCTCCTCAATCTCAATATCATCATCAATATCAACATCATTATCAACAGCCACCGCAACCACCTCAATCACAACCTTTGCCACAAACTCAATTTCATTCTTCTTCTTCTTCATTATCGTATGGTAAATCAATGATCAATCCTACAACATCAAGAATGTCTCCAACAACAATCACCAACAACAACAACAGACCATTATCGTTGACAATGAAAACTAATTCATTTCAAGGATCATCAACATCATCATCATCATCGCCATCATCATCACCATCATCATCATCTGCTTTATTGTGTAAAAACAACAACAACAATAATAGCAGTAATAATAATCATCATAGAAACATTGACCCTGATCGTCTTAATATTAAAATCGAATATAATAATGATGGTGATCATCATTTGATACAAACGAATCATATTACTACACACCAACCGATTGATGTTCATCAACAACGACGTCCATCAACGATTATTTCATTGAAAACTGAACCCGATGATTATATCAATACTATAAGCCCTCCAACTACCGCGACGACCACCACCACCAGCAGCGTAAAGCATAGGCCAACATCACCATCATCATCAATCATAGATGTTAACAATGAAAATATTAAAAGAAGATGTCATTCGGATTGTACAACAACAAATTCAATTTCAATTGTTGATAGATCATCATTATTTATAAATCATTCATCGGATGAAAGTGAAAGTGCCAATATTGTTTTCAATGCTAATCATAATAATCATAAGGATGATTCGAAAGAAATTTCTAATTTTCAATCGAAAATTATCTTAAAAACAGAAAACATAAACAAAAATGGTAAATTTTTTATTTGAATTTTGAAATTTTAAATGATCCATTTTTTGTTTTCTTTGAAAAAAAAATATAGATACATCTTCATTATCATCATCATCACCACTCAATGATAAAACTTCTTCAGCGACGGTAAATGTTTCATTCACTTTGCCCAATGAGAAGAAATTTAACCTAAATAATTATGATAATCTAATGAAAAATGACAATGGACAATCATCTAATAATGGTAATACAATAAGCATTTTTCAAACAAATCTAAATGAAATGGCACCAGAATCAATATCAGATCAATATAATTATATTGAAAATTATCGTTTAGAAGAATTAAATGATGCTTGTAATCAATTAAATCATTGGTATTATAATGGTTCAATATTATATGAAATGCGTCATTTAAAAGAAATCTATCGTGTTGCTGAACATGTATTTCAACATTTTATATCGATGGCCAAAATGATTACAGCATTTGCTGATTTATGTGAAACTGATCAGATATCATTGCTCAAATATTCAGTTACAGAAATATTAATACTTCGTTCGGTATCTTGTTTTATGCCCAATAAGGATGCATGGATTTTTAATCTTGATGTATGTTTTTTTGTTGATGAAAAAGTATTTTTTACATTGAAATAATATTAAATTTCCTTTCTTCTAGAACAATGAAAAAGGTACAATGTTACAATTTAATACTTGTAAATCGCAGATACCAGAATTTAGCGATGATATAAGACATTTTATATTGGCTGTGCCGGAAAAATGTCGACAAGATCGTAATCTATTTGATCTGGCAACAATGGTTGTATTATTCAATCCAAATTGTTTAGATCTTAAACATAAAGATGTTGTTAAGTAAGTTTATTTAGTTATTTTTTAAAGATTTTCTTCTAATTTTCTCGGTTGTCATTTTACAAAGATTGGAACATATTACATATTGCCATTTGCTTTGCAAATATATTCACAAAAATTATTCATCAACAACAACAACAACATTGACGATGGAAAAAACTACTGAAGATGCTGAAAAACATTCTATTATACAATTCAATACAATGTTAAATTTAATCGATCAATTACATAAGATTAATCAAAAAATTAATAATAATATTTTACCATTCCATACTATTATAAATGAAGAATATGATAAAAAACATTTGACTCAGGCATAATTCAATTCGATTCATCCATATTAAAAATACAATACCGCCGCGGTCCTTTTTTCAAAACAAAATTGTCATTTTATTTTTGTTTACCCATGAAAAATCTCAAATCCCATTTATATTTTCTAATATATTTTTTTTTCTTTTGTTTTTTGTTGTTATCATTATTTGTTATTTTTGTTATTTACCAACAACAACAACATTATAATATTTATCATTTTCATTTTCATTTTCGTTGTGACCAACACACACAATTCTTACTCTATTTTTTTTTGTTGTCCACCAAGTGATTCCTTTTTTTCAAAAAAAAAAAAAACAAAATTATTATTATTATTATCTCTCTGGATTTATTGTTATTGTTGATTTGAAAATTTTATTTCTCAAAACAAAAAAAATGAATGAATAAATAAATTCTTGCAATGTTTCTTGATCCGAAAATTTTCAAAATTTTCAAGTTTTTTGAAAGAAGCGAACGTCCTATTTGAATTGGACAGACTCACCAAAGTTAACACTGAAAACATGCGGCTTAATTCTTGTTGTTTATTGATTTAATGATTATGATAATTTGATTTGAAATTTTTGAATTTTTTTGTTTGGAAATCTAAAACAAAACCAAGGAAAAAAAATGACACATAATTACGTTGTCACTGCTCAAAAATCTACAGCAGTTTTTAATGCCATTTCAGGTAATCTATTGGGCTGTCAATTTTGTTTTTTTAAAGTTTGACGTGTAATCACAATCCAATCTCTCTTTCTTTTAGGAAATTTTACATCACCGACCGATTTGAATTTAATTCTAGATAAATTATGTCGAATCGAAGTTCATCTGGTAACAGCCGAAGGATTACGTTCATTAAAAGAAATTCCTATTAATGGTAGAATATCTGTTATAAAATCTTTTCGTATGCCGAATGAAGATAAAGATCTTTTGTTTATTATGACACTTAAAAATAATTTAATGATTTTGGAATTAAGTCGTGATTCAAAACATGGTGATTTTGAAGTGAATACACGTGCTCATGGTATTATTACAGAAAAATCTGATCGACCATCCGAAAATGGTACCATTTGTGATCTAAATGCTAAAGCCAGAATTATTGCCTTGCGTATTTACGATGGTATATTGAATGTATTGAAATTAGATTTCAAAAATCGGAACATCAAATCTTACAATATTCGTGTGGAAGAAAATACACTTATAGATTTTGTATTTCTTCATGGCTATGATAAACCAGTACTTTGTTTTATTTATCAAGAAGATCGTAGTCGTCATCTAAAAACCTATGAAATAACCGAAGATCGTGAACTTCGTCGTGGTCCATGGTTACAGGAAAATATTGAATCCGATTCATCAATGTTGATACCAGTATGTGAACCATATGGTGGTGTAATTGTTGTTGGCCAAGAATCAATTACTCATATTATTGATCAAAATCAATATACTGCTATTGCACCGCCAGAAATAGCAAGTTCAAATTTTTCATGTTATTGTAAAATTGATAATGATCGTTTTTTGCTTGGTGATTTAAGTGGACAATTATTTATATTGATTTTACATCCAAATGTTCAAGTTGCTTCATCATCATCGGCACCAGTTTCACCATATGGTTTGAAATTAATTTCATTGGGTGAAACATCTGTTTCCAGTTGTCTTTCATATTTGGACAATAATTATGTATTTGTTGGTTCAAGATTTGGTGATTCACAATTAATCAAACTTAAACACGATGATAATGATACGAAAAAATATATTGAAATTATTGATACATATGTTAGTTTGGCACCGATTGTTGATATTCTGGTTGTTGATCTTGATAAACAAGGTCAAGATCAATTGATTACCTGTTCAGGTGCTTATAAAGAAGGATCATTACGTATAATTCGAAACGGTATTGGTATTAATGAATTGGCTACGATTGATCTACCTGGAATCAAAGGTGTATGGCAATTAAAAGTTGATTCAATATTTGATAATGTTGTTGCAATGGCTTTTGTTGGCCAAACAAAATTATTAAAATTAAAAAATGAAGAAGTTGAAGAAACATTTATACAAGGTTTTGATTGTTCACAAGAAACAATGTATACCGGTAATATTCGTATAAATCATATTGAAATGATTGTACAAATAACGGCAAATTGTATTCGATTAATATCGATCGATGATAATCGAATTACAAGTAAATGGATTCCATCAAATAATATAACATTAGTTTCAGTAAATGATAAACAAATTTTATGCAGTTCAAGAAATAAATTATTATATTTGGAAGTTATTGAAACGGAAATCCGATTAATAAATGAAATTGAAATGGAATTTGAAGCATCTTGTTTGGATATTAGTTCGTTAATGGAAAAACAAAGTAAACTTTGTGCTGTTGGTTTATGGAAAGATATATCGGTTCGTATAATGAGCATACCGGATTTTAAACTTTTACATACAGAAAAACTTGGTGGTGAAATTATTGCACGTTCAACATTGATGGCACATTTTGATCATACTAGCTATCTATTCACTGCAATTGGTGATGGATCATTACTTTCTTATATTCTGGATACTGAGAATGGTACATTATCGGAAAAGAAAAAAGTTGTTTTAGGAACACATCCAACATTTTTAAAAATGTTCAAAACAAATTCATCAAGCAATATATTTGCCTGTTCCGATCGTCCGGCTGTTATTTATTCAAGTAATAATAAGCTAATTTTTTCGAATGTAAATTTAAAAGAAGTAAATAATATGTGTACATTAAATTCGGAAGGTTATCCGGATTCATTAATATTGACCAATGATAGTCAATTATTAATCGGTCAAATTGATCAAATTCAAAAGCTTCATATTCGAACAATACCGTTGAATGAAACACCAAGACGTATTGCTTATCAAGAATCATCACAAACATTCGGTGTTATATCGATGCGTTATGATGTACAATTAGAAGATGGTCAAATGGTTTCATCACGTATTAGTGCCAGTACATTAGCACAAAATATTACTCATTCACGATCATTACCAACGATGGTAAAACCGACACCGATTTCGAATCATTTTTTCCCCAATGAATTGGAAGTTTATCATCTGTTGATTATTGATCAAACAACATTCGAAGTTTTACATGCACATCAATTTATGGTCAATGAATATGCAACTAGTTTAGTTTCATGTAAACTTGGTAATGATCCTAATTATTATTATATTGTTGGTACAACATTTATGGTTTCGGATGAAATTGAACCAAAAGCTGGTCGTATTATTGTATTTCAATTGATTGATGGTAAACTACAACAGGTTGCCGAAAAAGAAATTAAAGGTGTACCGTTTTGGTTACATGAATTTCATGGTAAACTTTTAGCATCAATTAATACATCTATTCGATTGTTTGAATGGACATCAACACATGAACTACATATGGAATCATCGGTATTTTCATCCACATTAGCCATTCATACGAAAACCAAAGGAGATTTTGTTCTTCTCGGTGATTTGCTTCGATCTTTTTCATTATTTGCCTACAATCCACTTGGTGGAAATTTTACTCAATTAGCACATGATCTCGAATCAGCTTGGCTATCAGCAATGGAAATTATTGATGATGATACATTTATCGGTGCTGATACTAATTTCAATCTATATTTGGCACAAAAAGATATGTAAGTTTGTATTATAATGGCGGCTATTGTTGATTAATTTCTAAATGTTTTTTTTTTCAAATGTAAAAAAAAGGAATGTGGCTGATGATCCGGATAGATCAAAATTTCTTCAACAATGTGGTTTCTTTCATTTAGGTGATCTTGTTAATGTTATGAAACATGGTTATCTTGTAATGAATTATCCACATGAAATGAATAATCCTATCGTTAATAAACCGATTCTTTTCGGTACTTATTCTGGTAGTATTGGTAAGCTTTTTAGTTCAAAAAGAAATTATCAATTTAAAAAAAAAATTAATTATTAATCTTTTATCAATCTCCAAAGGTTTAATTGCACAAATACCAAAAGATTATTATGAATTTCTATTGAAATTACAAAAAAATCTAACATCCAAAATTAAATCTGTTGGAAAAATTGATTATGATTTTTGGCGTACATATACAAATGATAAGAAAACTGAACCGGCATTGAATTTTATTGATGGTGATCTTATTGAATCATTTTTGGATTTAAACAGTACCGAAATGGCTGAATGTGCTGAAGGAATAATGGTAATAATAAAAATCTAAAAATATGAAAAATTTTAATCATTTTTTTTCTTCTTTTAATTTTACATTAAAAATATTATAGTATAATATAAATGGCCAGAACCGTAAAGCGAATGTAGATGATATTATTAAAATTGTTGAAGAATTATCTCGAATACATTAGTGATTTGGTGATCATTTACATCAAAGGTAATGGAATTATTGAACGAACAAACGGAGTTTTGGTTATCATTTCATATCTGGCTCTTTTCGTTCTTCTACATAATCCAATTACTTTACGTTTGGTTTTGTTTTTCGTTTTGCCATCCAATTCATCCAATTTTTGTTTGTAATCATCCAAAATTTTAACACGATAATGATGAACACTTGTACAGGAATATTCCGAAGAACCACCTAAATTCAAAATTGTTTCATATAATCTTTTCATTATTATTTTTCTTGTTACAAATGATTCATTTAATAAAATTTCGTTGGCTAAACGATTAAAAATATTTTCAACCATTGATTGTAATTGACGATGATCATTAATCATAGCTAACCATTTAACAAATGGTAAAATTAATTCATAATAAATATTTGGTCGATCAGTGTCGGTGATTTTTTCGACATCATCGATAATCAATTTTAATTCATCCAGATAAATATCACAAATATGAAGAAATAGACCAATGGATTTTGATGTAATCGAAACAATATAATCAATAACATCGCATTTAAGTTTCGAAAATGAATCGAATTCATTTTCATTGTCATCATCATCATTTCTTTTAACATTATTGGCAATATTTTTGCGATAATCATTCATAAAAATTTCATTTTCAAACAATTTTTCTCCATTACCTATAGCATTGATCTGTTTTCGTAAACAATTACGTAACATGATACGAATTAAAAACATATATTTATCGATTCGAAAAGCATCGATACCATTCCATGATTCAGTCAATGCTTTAAATCCTGACATAAGAAATGATCCATTATCGGTTGATCCCATTTCAATAATCAATTCTTCACCACCTTTACGCATTTCTTCATACCAAACAATATAATAGAATCCTTTCCATAATTGCATCCATTCAATCATTGTCAAATCATTTGGACAATTTTGCATCATTTTTCGTAACAATGCCAAACGTTTTGAATGGGTTTGTGGTGCTGAAACTTTTTGAACAAAATTCACGACAAACAATGCGTTACTAGTTTTATTTTTCATTCTGAATGATCGATAATAACGATGATAATTAAGTCAATTTAAAATTTAAATTATTTGGAAAAAAAATGTTGTTTCAGGATAAACACCATGTGGAATCATTGAGCATCAAAAACACATGTGACTTGAATACTACTTGACTGGTATGAACTTGGCATAAAATATTTTGATATCGAATCTCAAAATAGCCAACGAAAAAACAAAACAAAACAAAAACTTCGAAAAAACAATATGGACAATTCTGAAACAGAAAATTTGGACCTGAAATATCGTAAAAATTTTCTATATTTTCTTGAAAAAAGTAAACAAAATAAATCCACATCGATTTGTTTCATACAGAATGCCAAAAATATGACCACCGATGTAAATATCGAAGCATATGAACCAAGTTTGAAACATTTGGCCGTAAGCAATCTACAAACACCGATCGGTTTGCAAAAACAAGCCATTTTACGTAGTAATGATATTGAATGTATAAAATTTTCGAAACAATAATTTTTTTTAAAAATTATTAATCACAATATTATATGTACAATTTTATAATTCAAATTCAATGATGACTGGGTTTTTTACCATCAACATAAAAATTTCTTGTTGCAGGCGGAAGAGTTACTTCTAAATCTTGTAATTCTGGTTTTAAAATAATTTGACAACCTACATTTAATAAAAAATTTGAAATTAATTTTCCAAATTGCATTATTTGTTTGTAATATTATTATTTACTTAATCTAGAATTTGATTTAAGAAATGGTGCCATATCAAGTAAATCTTCTTCTTCTTCACCCGCTTCATTTAATTTATCAAAATAATCATCATGAACATAAACATGACATGTACAACAGGCTAATGATGCTTCACAAGCACCTTCAATATCGATAGAATTTTTTTGAGCTAAATACATTACATTATCACCGACATTACCTTCAATGGTAATCCTTTCACCTTTATTCGTTATATAATGAACGCGTATTTTTTCGCCCGTATTTTCATTAGTATTATTATTATTTGAAGTTTCATTTCGTAAATTTAATGTTATTAATCTGTTTGAAAGTAATGTTGTTAATTTATTATTATTCAGATTAATCTGTTGTTGAAATAAACGTCCGGCAATTGAAGAAGAATTTGATAAAAATTTATAAAACATATCGGGGGTTTAAGAAAAAAAAACAGAAAAAATTTCTTGAACCACCACATGACAAACAATCGAAAAAACATATCGCGATAGTGGATTTTCATAAACAATCGATACTCATTTTTTTCGAACAAATTATTTAGCATTATCAAACAAAACTCTTGTAATTGTCATATAAAGCATTATCATTGGAATGGCATAAAACATAATGATGGCCGATCCAAGCATAAAACTAATCCTTATTTCATTTGCAAAATCATCATGTTCAAATTGGTTAATATTTTTAATGGCAACATGTATGGCAACAATCATACATGATATTGATATTGTAGTCAATATATAATTGAATTTTTGTATCGGTTTTCCGGCTAAAATTTGATAGAAAAAACCATAAATAACACCAATGCTACCGATAACAACAAAAAACCATTTGATTGCTGCATAAATACCAATATAATAATTGGAAATCGAACCAATCATATAATATGAACCAATACGATTGATACATTCACGAAATAATAGATTAAATGATAAAAATGTTGGTGAAAATAGATCAAGTACACGTATGGAAGTTGGTGTTGCAAATCTACCTTCCAAACGCATATTCGATTGTGGACTAGCAAGAAACATATTTTGTTCACATTTATCAATCGGTATTGATTTAATACGTTGTTCAATACAACTAATCCAACCATCACTATGTTTAGTGTTTTGTATGCTAATCATTGAAACATAAAGTTCACCATTCGGATAATCATGTGTTATGGCAATTTTTTCAACATTTTTGATTTCAGATTCACTAAATAAATATTCAAGAAAAAAAAGAAAATAATCATCATATTTTTTTGCAGATTGAATCAACAACATTACATGATAAGTAAAAACTTGATAACACGATAATCATTTTTAAATTCATTAAACATATTTGTTTGATTAAAAAATTTGGATGTAATTTGTATCGATATTGGTGGTTGTTGTGTTGTTGTCGGTTGATCTGAACCGATAAAAAAAATTATAAAAACTTTTGTTTTTTCTAAATCAATTGTTGATCGTCGATGAAAATAGATCATATTGACAATATAGATTTGTTGTTGTTGTTGTTGATTGAATTGTTTTTTACCACCACCATCAACAACATCATTATCTTTATGTTTTACAAATATTTTATTCCAATATTTTGTTGAATATTTTCGATTGAATATAATTGAAAATATTAATGCCAGAATGCAGACAATCAAACCGAATATAATGATTGTGGCAAGGAAAATATCGAATGAAAATTTTATTGTTTTTTCATTGATAACGGTGGTTCGATTCATCATCAATGTCATCATTTGCATTTTGGTCGCAATAAATCCTGTGACTTGATTGTTTTTCCGTCGTTGTTGTTGTTTCGAATGTTTTGTTTTTCTTCCATTTTTATAAACCGAAAAAAAACGAAAAAAAGTTCGCGAACAATTTTCGCAAAACAAAAAAACAGAAACAAAAAGGCTAATCTAATTATCAAATCCAGTTAATTAATCCTGATAATGATTTTTGATTGATTGATTGATTTATCAATCTTGAGATTAACTTGTTTGTGATCTTATGACAACAACAACAACAACAAAAGAAAAAGACTTTTTCTCAAGTGAAACACCAGTGTGCGTGCGTTTGAATCAAGTGGAAGTTCAATCATCATTTGATTATCAATGAAATAAACAATGGATTATGATTTGATTGACAACTTTGATATTTTATCAATTGTGATTAGCTAATCAAAAAAAAAATGAAAAAAAAATTTCAAAGATCAATTCGATAATGACGATCGTAACATTTAACATTTTTTTTCACCTACCTGTTGAAATACCTGTGTGTTGGATAGATTATCAATAAATTTTCTAATCTAATCATCAGACAAGATTTTTTGATCCGATAATTTCTTATTCAATAGTCCAATTTTTGATCGTCGATTACTACACTATTTAAACTCCATTTCATCAATCGATTATTATTGATTTTCTTTTTCTATTTTTTCATTGTTGACATCGTAACAAAACAAAAAAACCGCTCAGAATGAAAATCAGAATTTTTTGTTTACTTTTTTTAACCGTATGGACGATGATGTCATCGGTTGAAGCAGCCCGTGGTAAGATTATTGATAATTTTTTTTTTGGACGGAAACAAAATGATTTTTTTTCCCCAATAGAACCAATAGTATCACCTTATGTTGATGCAACAAGAATGTCGGAAAATTTTCTTGTCGATCTATATCAACAAACTGGACTTAAATCAGTTACATTAGCATTTGTACTTGGAACTGGTTTTGGTTGTACACCAAGTTGGGGTGGTGAACAAACATTAAATGATCCAAAAATATTGAATGGTGTCAAAGCATTTCGTAATATTGGTGGTAAGGTTATTTTAGCAACTGGTGGTGCAATGGGACCATATTTAGAATCAACTTGTTCATCGGCTGATCAACTTGCACAAACATATCAACAAGCATTAAATATTGTTGATAGTAAACATTTAGATATAGATATTGGTAAGTTAAGCGTTTTTTTCTCTCTCTTTTAATTATCAGTGATGATAAATTAATCTGATAAAATGATTTACCTGATGATTTTTTTCTTATATTCCCATATCAAAGAGGCATCCGTCAATGTTGATATAATGTTAAATGCATTGAAAATATTACGAACACGAATACCTGAATTAACAATATCATTTACAATGATGGTACAAGGTGATGATTATGGTATTGTTGATAGTTTAGGTGTTGATATTTTAAAACGTTCCCGGCAAATTGGTGTTGATGTTAATATCGTAAATGGTATGACAATGGAATTTGGTTCACGACGATCATCATGGGGTGATGCTGTTATAGCTGCAAGTGAAAGTTTACATCGACAATTACAACAAATATGGCCAGAAAAATCTTCAGAAGAATTGTATACAATGATTGGTGTTACACCAATGATAGGAAGGAATTTTAATGGAAAAATATTTCAAATTGAACATGCAAAACAATTGATTGAATGGTCGAAACAAAAACAAATTGGACATTTATCATTTTGGTCTGTGGGTAGAGATAATGGTGATTGTCCTGGTGGTGGTATTTCACCATCATGTTCAAGTATTTCGCAACAAAAATTTGAATTTAGTAAAATTTTTCAACAATATTCTGGTAATCATATTCCGGATAAATTTTCAACAACAACAACAACAACAATGAAACCTGATCCTAATCGAACAACAACAAAACCAAAACCAATTGATTGTTCAACCGGTATAGAATATATTGTACATGAAACATATTGTGATAAATATTATTGGTGTTTTCAAGGTAAACCACATTTGGAACAATGTCCAAATCATTTAGTTTGGGATCCGAAAATTAATTCCTGTAATTATGCTGAAAATGCTAAACGTACTGATTGTATACAAGAATAATGAAAAATAAAATAAATTTTTGTTTTTTTTTTCGTTGTTGTTGTTGCGCTGTTTGATTCGATCAAGATCCCGCGGGTATCCGGTTATGTTTTTGTTTTGTCTAAATAATTGCGTAAACACAGCACACACACACAGCACAGACCAGACATTCGAGCAAACGACAGACAAGTTTTTACACGAAAGTAAATCTTGAAAAGAGAAATTTACAAAAAAAAAAATAACATTTTCGATCGATCGATCGATTTTTGTTGTTGTTGTTGTTGTTGATGATTGTAAACATCATCATCATCAACAACAACAACAACATGGTTATATAATAATCGTCATCATCACCATCAATTTTCTTTTTTTTCTTTTTTTTAATACTTTTTCTCTCACTCACTTACCTCATTGATATTCCAGTCGGTCGGTCAGTCGATCGGTATTAGAGATAAAGTGTAAATAGAAAACGAACGATGTTTTCAACCGAAATGGGAAAAAAATGAAAATGGTAAAAACCGAAATAGCAATCATCCGTCGATCGAAAAAAAATCTTTGAGCAACAACAAACTTGTTATCACACGCAGATACACACGAACGAATTATTCGAAAAAAAAATGAGCGGAACTTTAACGAAGCAAAAAAAAAATTCGTGAACATTATCATCAATCCATAGAGAGATTTTGTCGACCATATATGATCACGAGACATTTTTTTTTTTTTGAAATTTGTTTTTTTTCCCCAAAAATAAAATGATTTCAAAAAAAATAAAAATAAAAAAAAATAAATTTAAACCGATCTTGACCAAACACAGTAGAAATAGTTTCTTTTGGCTTCCTCCGTCAAAAAAAAAAAAAAAAAAATTTAAACCGATCTTGACCAAACACAGTAGAAATAGTTTCTTTTGGCTTCCCCCGTCAAAAAAAAAAAAAAAACATTCGATTGATACATTCGAATGATAATGATGATGATCATTGATGTAACCATGGTTGATAAGGACAACAAACCGATTTTTTTTATATTTTTACTTTCTAACGATGTTATTTCCATCCGAATTGGGTAAAATCATTTTCATATAATTAATGATTAAATTATTACCAAAAAAAAAAGCTAATTGAATGATTTTTCTTTCTCTCTTTTTGTTGTAGTATGTAGACTCCTCTCTGTTTCATTCATTTATTCGTCGGTTCTTATCGAAGATAATCTTTGTGACTATTTTTTCTAAAGTAAAAAAATATATTCACCCGAAAGATGTGTGTGTGATTATTGTTCATCATCATTATCATCATTATCCATTATTCATTAATCATGATCGAAACAGAACAATGTTTTCAATTCAATTTCAATTGAATCAATTCAAAACAAAACAGAAATCTAGTCTCAATAATTAGGTTTGAACATTTTGTTGTTCGATTATTTCGTGAAACAAAACAAAACAAAAATCGAATCAACCAAATAATTGATTAATGGATGCTATATCATTACTATAATAATGGATTTAAATTAATTAAGACAATTTTTTTGTTTGCTGATGTTTCTTAGAAAAAGATTTTCGTTTTCATTTTGCTCAACTTTCAAATCAAATCAAACATTAATTGTATCTTTGCATTGATATTATCTTCCCATATACAAATGTGTACAACATTTGTTTGGAAAATTATCGTTTTCGTTTTCGTTTCTCATTGGATTTTTTTTTATTATCGATCGAATAACTTAATTTCATTCATTAAATACCGTTGATTGGCTTGAAGGGATTTTTGGAAAACGAAACGAAACGAAACGAAATAATTTTTCTTGCTCAACAAAAAAAAAATTATCAACATTAATTCGATCTCAAATCTATTTCAATGGAAAAAAGAAGAAGAAGAAAAACAAAATAGGAAATGTTATATACACTAATCATTAACGAAAATTGTTGTTTGTTGTTTCCATTTCCGTGCCTGAAATATATCGAATGAAAATTTCAAAACAAAATTTCAAATTTAATCATTAAGGTGAAATTGTTCAAAAATTATTCACAATTTTGGAGATTTAGCAACAAAATCCGTTATGCAATGTAATGTTTGCTCAAAAATTCAATATTGAATGAAGATTTTCAGCAACAACAAAAAACACGAAAAATCTTGTTCTGTCTGCAATGATTATCGTTCATCATCGTTCATCGTCACAATTTGATTCGATTCAGTTTTTTTTTCGGTTCGTTCCGATACAATTTCATTCAGTTTTTCTTTATTTTCTTCAACTAAGCATCCAATAATGATTGATGACTTTTGTTGTTGTTGTTGTTTCAAAAATATATTTTCATTTTTTTTTTAGCTGATCAATCCCTCCCTGTCTATCGTTTCTGTTTCTCTTCATGATGATTATCATTGATGAATGTGGATGGTAATCACTTTCTTATCACTCATTTATACACTCCCAACAAAACAAGATGAAACATGGATTACAAAAGGTGAACAAAAAATAATCAATTTTCGTTTTTTAAAACAAAACCAAAGACCAGATACATTGTTATCGGATATTTGGTTTCAATCAATTGACTATTTTGATATAAAACACACACACACACACACACAAAAGCCTAAAAGTGTCTAATTAAAGCCCCCTTACAATCTTATTGTTGTTGATGAAAGTCGAATGATCGAATGATCGATGAATAGATACATCTTGTGTAATAATAATAATAGCCAACCGAGAGAAGAAAAACGAAAAATCCTTTCAAAGAGCCATTGACCAAAAACAACAAAAAAAAAATTTTTTGTTTAAAATCAACAAAATTCATCGGATGTTTGGCTATTTGGAAGCAAAAAAAAAACTTTCTAAAATAAAACCAAAACAACAACAATTTGATAAGCAAATATGAAATATGAAATGAATGAAAATTTCATTCAATAGTTTTTTTTTTATATTCAACAACCATTGATGGATGGTCAAATTTTTTTTTTCAAAAATTTTTATATTTTTAAAAATATTTTTTAAACGAGCTGTTTATACACACATTCGAATCCATATCAGTGCATAATCTTTATCTACATTATCAGATTATCAGCCTGCCTGCCTGGCCAGACTGGCCATATAGTTTTTTAAAATAAAATTTTTTTTAAGTTTTTCTTTTTTTTCTTCTTAAATAGACACACACAGACAGATCAACAGACATGGTATGTTTGGTTGAATATTGATACCGGTCATCATCATCGACATCATTAATGAAGAAAGACGAAGAAAAAAAAAGGATCAGATCAGATTCAGTTTCAGTTTTGGTTTTTCTGATCGTTAATGTTATCGGACAACTGACCATCCAGCCAAGCAAAAATTGATGCAAAGTGAGAATACCGACCGACCGACCGAGCCGAGCCGAACCGGGATCGATCATATCCTATCACACAGTGTAACACACGATGATGATTGCAAATAATCACTATTTTGGTTATTATTATTGGTGGAAAAAAGATGAAAGATGTGTGTGTGTGTGTGTGTATTTGGTGGATAATTTTATTTTTTCTATATTTTTCCCCTTTAGCTGACTGACCTCATTCACTGGTCATTCCACCTTTCGATGTTCTAATTCAAGAAAACGAAAAAACAAAGTTTTTGGCTATAATGCGGATTGAGATTCGTTTTCAACATTATCATCAACTATATGTATGGATGCTTGAGGGCTACTCTATTTATTTATAATGATGATGATAACCGAAAAGATGAAAGAAAAAAAAAGAAAAATCGGTAAATGGGAAAATATACAAAGAGAACGAACGAACGAAAATATTTATTTAAAACGAACGAACGAGAATACCAGATTTTTTACAAAACGCAATACATGAAGTAAGGTAAGAGAGAGAGAGAGAAAGGTTAAAAGAGAAAAGATTTGATGATTTTTTTTATCGTTGACGTGGTTGTTGTTGTTGTTCCATTTGGGTTTTAATTTTAGAAATTAGTTGTTTTTTAATACAAACACACACATACTAATCATACCTGGTCGGTCATTTTTTTTGTTACCTTTTTTCATTTTTTGCTGCAAATGATTGGCTATCACAGGTATTGCCGGTCCGGTTCGTTTGATAGTTTGTTTTTTTTCCCGTTAGATTTTTCTTTCTTCAATTTGAAAAGAGCAACAACAAAAAAAATCAAAGAAAAAGAGAGCTTGGTGGTTCATCATCATAATCATCTTTGGTCTGTTTGAATTTCACTTTTCTTTTTTCTTACTCAGGTTTGATAACCGCACATACATTAAACATCCTTGTTGTTGAAGCACACATTTGTTCCAACACTGTGTTCGTTACCTACACACACTCGGACAAATCAACGATATCGGATCATCGACCAACAAAAAAAAAAACCATCAACATCGACATCGATCGAACGAACGAACAAACGAACGGATCCGATCCCGTTCATTTTCAATTCAATTTTATTTAACGTATCGTTTTTCATTTTTTCATTCATTTACCAGATATCGTTGACTTCAGTCAGTCAGTCAGTCACTTCACTTTACTTCAGTCATCATCAACATTTCGATTTGATTTTTTTTTCTTCTTGTTTCGTTTTCGTTGAAAAACATTTTCATTCATAAATTTTTTTTGTTTTGTTTTGTCAAACAACAACAATCAAATAATCAACAATCAACATGTATAACAACAAAATTATTTTATTGTTTTTTGTTTGTATGATTTGTCGGCACGATATTATTGTTTCTGGTCAATTTTCATTCGGTGGTTTTGGTGGAAGTGGTGATAGCGACAGTAATAGTGGTGGTGGTGGTATTGGTGGTTTTTCCGGTTTTAAATTATCCGGTCCATTAGGTCAATTGATGCGTGGATCTAGTTCATTAAATTTAATGAATTCAAATTTTGGTTTGGGTCAAATTCTTGGTACATTAATGAGTGGAAGTACAAGTGGCGTTAGTGGGGGTGGACCATTAACACAATTAGCAACTGCTGCATCAAGCCAATATATGAATGCATTACGTAGTAATCCATTGTTAAGTTCATTTGCTAATGTTGCTGCTGGTGGTAGTCAACAATCAGGTGGACCACCATCATCAAGTTCATATGCAGCACCACCATCACCATCATCATCACATCCACAATTTTCACCAAATCATCATTCAATGTTTCAAAATCCAATGGCAATGTTTGGTGGTGCTGGTGATAGTTCAATGTATGGACCACCATCACATCCAGGTGCAGGTGGTTATGATCATCATTTTGGTGGCAGTAATGTTTTTCCACAATATGCTACACCCGATAGTAAGAATTTCATTTCAAACATTTTTTCTTAAAAAACTTTATTAATGAAAAACTCTTTTACCAAAAAAAATTAGATTATTTTCCAAATGGCGGACATTATGGTGGACCACCATCATTTCCACCATCACCATATGGACCACCATCATCATCGTATGGACCACAAATGCCACCATCAATGATGCATCATCTTGATCGTAAAAAATAAAATCAAACAAAAAAATCAAAAATCAATCAATCAAATTCCATAATATCCTCAAAATAATCTTCATAATCAATCAATCATTTTTCCTCGTCGTCATTCATCATTTTTTTTTATTATTTTCATCAATTTTTAAACAAGAAAAAAAATTCATTTTTCAAATTTTTTTGTCTCTCTTCTTTTGTGGAGAACTTACTTTACACAGTCACAAAATCATTATTATTTTTAAAAAACTTTTTTCAGGCAAAATGATAAACAGTTGCCACGTAATCAACGTAATTGTCCACAATTTTTTTCCGATTCTTTTTCTTCTTTTCGTGGTGTACCATTGATGTACATAGTTTTTTTCTGTTTCTCTCGTCATTTTTCAATTCAATTTGTTTTTTTTTTCAATGTTAATCGTTTGTCCCCAGAATTTCATTCTTTCCCCCCAGACAAAACAAAAATTTTAATAAATTTTCATTATTTTTAAATTAAAATTTTTTATTATTCAAATTTTTCATTCACTAAGTTATTACAGAGAATTGCAGAGAATATATTTACACACACACAGGTAACAAACACCGAGCGAGAGAGAGAGAAAGTAAATGGTGAAAAAAAACATGAAAAATAAAATTATTAAAGATGCACTTTTACTGGAGTGTGGTAAGGGTTAAATAAGATGAATAATATTAGACGAATAATTAATGTTTCTTCAATGTCCAGCGCAAACAAACGAATGTCCAGAGAATCCAGGAATGTCTTTGAAGATTTTTTCTTTTTTCAGTTTTCAAAAAAAAAATACTATCATCGTGCTATTAACGTGGCCGTGGCGGTAATGATGGTTTTTCGAATGCCGAAAATGCAGCATTAGCCAAATGATTTTGTACCTGTGGATTTGTAGCCAATTTAATCATTTGATTTTGTACTTGTTGATTATTGGCCACTTGATTTAGAAAATTATTGACTAATGGACTTGGGCTTACTCTTCTGTTTGTGGTGGTTGGTTAAAAGGAGACAAAAAGTGTTTTTAAAAAATGAAAAAAAAAATTAATATTTTCAGTTGTAAAATTCATTTTGTAAAAGTAATTTTTTGTAAAAAACACCAAAAGCAAATTAATTAATCGATTTATTATTATTGCAGTAAAATTAATTAAAATTAACATTATTAATGGGAAAAAAATCCAAAATTGATTTTTTCTTTTAAATGATAGATTCGTCTGAACAAACAAACAAACAAACAAAGATAAAATCGAAAGCATAAATATTTCAAGCATTTATGGATGAAAGAAACATGATTATAGAATGGGATTGATGATACGAATTCATTCATTTTTACCTAGAACTTAGTAATTTTTAATTTTAAATTTTTTTAAAATCTTGATTATGGTGTGTGTATTAGTGCAATTATATTATCGGTTAAATAAGATAGTTTTTGTTCTGTGTGTCGGTGTGTATGTGTGTGTATAACAAGAAGCAAAAAAGAAGAAACAAATTGATATTATTATGCTGTGTTTTTGACAAAAAAAATCTAAGAAGATTTTTGAATTAAAGTTTTTGATTGATAAAGTTGTTGTTGTTGTTGTTTGAGACTATAGAATTGAAATTAGTTAATTATAATAATGACTGAAGGATTAAAAGATAAGATTATTATTTTTAGTTTTTGCAGAATTTATTTATGTGAACCAAATCCAAAAGCATCGAGTACTGAATCAGAAACAGCCTGTGTAATACCTTGTTGAATACGTGGTGGTAAATTAGGCATTCCTCCTCCTCGTCTGTTATTTGTTTTATGTAGTTTTTTTTAAATGAATTTTGTATTTTGTGGCAGCAGACGTTCAACAAGAAGAAAACGAAAAAATTGTACCGAAAATAAAATTATTAAATAAGAGATTAGAAAGCACAGAGATTAATTGGTTAGATATTTACATTTTGCGGAAACAACATTGCGGTCGTAACAGCAGAAAAAAAGCAGCAGCGTTGGCGAAATGATTCAAATGTATTCAACATGGACAATTTTTTTTTGGAAATGGATTAGAGACAAGGACAATGATAAGCACAAATTAGTTTTTTTTAGAAAAGTTATTTAAAATTAAAATGATTATTTTGTCAATGAATTTAAAGTTTCATTTTTCTCGATTAATCGATTTAGATAATGGGTTAAAGATGAATAAGAAATAAAAATAGTTACTTACGTTGGTATCAATGGAGGAGGTAATCCACCCGGACGAATTGGTGGTGGTGCAACACCTCTACCTGGAACATTCGGTGCCGGACGACCTGGTGGTGGCGGTGCACCACGGCTAGGATTCGAGCTTGGTGGTGGTGGACGATTCATTGTCGATGGATTTGGATTATTTACTGTCGTCGACGACGGCGGTGGTGCCTTTGATACATTATTACTCATTGGTGTTGGTGATGGTGCCATATTACGCCATGACCAATCATCTTTGATAGGTGGTGGTGCAGGTTGATAACTAGTTTGCATTGATACATCGCCAATTATTTGCAATGCTTGTTTACAAGCATGATACATTCGCAACATTTCTTCTCGTTTACGTTCTTCTTCCGGTGATTCTTCCATCATCGTTGACTATTTAAAATATATGATTTAAAGAAAATTACAACAACAACAAGAAAAAGAGATTTTCTTTAGCTTACCTGGTCACCTGCTTGATAAAGTTGAGCCAACAGTTCTGAATAAATGAAATCTTTTGATTCATTTATCATGAGATGCATAATGATCTTAGGAACAAGATCCCTATATGAATGAATGAATGAATGAAATGAACATTTTGTTGATTAAGAAAATAAAATTTAAAAAAATTTACCGATATGTTTTCGTAACAATTTTCATATACGAATCAACCAAATTACGAATAGTTTCAACTTGTCGTTCCAATTGTGGATCAAGACTAGATACACCTGAATCACCACCATCTTCACCACCGTTTGAATGGCTTGCTTCACAACTACGTTCCGGATAAACACCAGCACGAAGAAATGATGCTTTCCATGAATCAACATCTTCCTGTGATTCACAAGACAATTCTAATTGTTTATAATCTTTGTATACATTTCTTTGATCAGGATTGAACAATGCAAACGTATGTCGTTTTGACATAAAACCGGATTCCATATCCTATTTAAAAATATAATTTAGTTTAAATAAATTAAATTAATCAATGAACAAATTACCTTAATTTTGAGACCATCAAGTGGAAGCATATATTTTTTATCTTTTTCTTCTTCATCTTTAAACCATGATAATGATTCACTGGTCAATACAAACCAATAATCACGTGAACCACCTTTCATAATACCTAAATTATGAATATTCATATAGCCTTTACGAATTACCTATAGATTTAAGACAAAAAAAATCAAAAATAAAAGATTAACATTTTTTATAACCAAAAATAATTACAAGCGACAAACAAAAAGAAATAAGCGAAATAGATTTCAAGATACGCTAAATCCGCTTCTATAACTACTATTTTTTTTTTAAAGATCAATAATATTTCTTACCCCAGTCTTTTTATTATTATTATTATCAACAATAATGCCGCATTGTGTGAGAAACAAGACAAAACAAACAAAAAAAAATCGAATGATCAAGAATGAGTAGTTATAGGATTTTATAAAAATGCTGATATATTCAATACGAAAGTAAAAGTTATTGAATAAAATTATTAATTATTTACCTGATTACCAAGTTTACGTTTTTGTGAATTATCGGCCGATTGTTGTGCATTAGAAAATCCAATAAAATCTTCATGATTTGTGTTCATATAGGCCAATTCTACATCGCATAACATTAAAATTTGGTCTTTGGTTTTTTGTTCACGTTCACGAACATGTGACATTATGATTCGTTCAGTTTCTTCTTGTAATCTTGGATAACGAACCATTTTCTGTGTACAACGTCGAACAACATTACCCATTTCGGCAATAACCAAATCAACACATTTAATTGATGGTTCACGAAGTTGAGATATTTGTCTTTTGACAATAGCTTCGAAAGCCATATCAGGTGTAAACAAACCAACACGAATACCATGAATGTTTCGAATAGCGAATGCAATTTCACGACGAAGTTCTTTTTCATCAAATTCCATTTTAACAATTTCAAATGGAAAACGTTCATGAAAAATACGATTGATGCGTGCACCACCGGATAATTCGGATGTATTGATTGCAGCTGAACCAGATCCTTCAATATTTCGTTCAAAATCTGTTTGTAATTGTTGTATCATTTGTAACATTGCTTTTGTTTTTCGAGTTGGATCATCCGGACGAAAGTTTTTATATTCTTCTACTTCTTTTTCCAATTGTAACATTTGTTTTTGAAGTTTATCTCTCAATGCAGGCAGCGTATCACGAATGTGATTAGTTAATTGTTGATTAAGCACACGTTGAAGATATGGTGTGCCCATACGATCTGCCATATGACGATATGATGGATGAGAGAGGAAAAATTTTCGTTCAGCATCTAAAGCAGCTTTAATATCTTTACGTCCTTCAATATCTCGTTGTGATCGATTAACCACACCGATATAACCACGTCTAAGTGGTAATAATTTATTTTCAAGAATATCTTTTGCATCGGTACCTTCATCCATTAGATCCAATTTAGTAATAACACCGATTGTACGTAAACCTTCTGGATCAACTTCTTTTGCCAATTTTAATGCATCCGATGTAGCTAAATCTTGATTTGCACTTGTTACAGCCAAAATTAAACAATTTTCACGACGTATATAAGTCAAAAGCATGTCACGAATTTGTTGTTCAATATCAATTGGTTGATCACCGACCGGTACTTTTGTCATGCCTGTATTGATTTAGAAAGATAGATTTAATTTTCATTAATCAAAAAAAATATTTTTTTTTTGATCTAAACGAACCGGGTAAATCAATCAAAGTTAAATTTAATACATGTGGTGAATAAACACGAAGATTGATTGGAACTGGCGATATGCCTTTATTTGATCCAGTTGTTCGATCAGTTTCTTCTTCAATTTCTTTACGTATTTCTTCAAAATTTGTAAATTTTTTTCCACGACAATGCAAAAATTCACCATATTCTAAACGTAAAATTACAAAATGAATAACGAAATCTTATTTATTCAATATTTTTTTAAAAAAATAACAAACCCATATTTGAATGAATTAATTGCAATACTAATGGCCTTCGTGTAACAATACCCGAACCACGTGGAAGAAAATCTCGACCAACAAAATTTTCCAAAACAGATGATTTACCAGCAGATTGGCCACCAATAACGGCAATCTGTGGCAAGTCCAATGACATGGACACACCTGGAATTTTCAAAAAAAATGAATGAATAAAAAAATCCAGAAAAAATAATGTTTTAAAACATACCCAACGCAGAGAATGCATCCTGTAATTTATTGACAATGGGTATAAGATTTTCCATTGTCGTCAATTGTCGTTGTCAGCGACTATCGATGAAAGACAAATCAAATCAATCAATAAAATATTAAGTTTTTTTCCCAGCGATCCACTATGGGAAAAGAAACAAAACCAAAATCGTCAGATGAAGAGAGAAGAATCCTGGTGGTTGAATATACAAGAAACAATATTGATTAGAATTGAGTAAAATTGAATTTGAAAAAAACAAAAGACATGAAAACAATGAATAAATGAGCGGCCTATTGTTGTATCATCATCATCATTCGATATGACAATTCGGTGTGATGACACAGACAATGTGCGACAGTGAACAACAACAAACATAGGAAATGACAATGATGATGATGATGATGATGAGTCGATTGTATCGAAAAAAAACAAAATTCAAAGTAAAGAAGCAAACAAAAGAAAAGAAAAGAAAAGAAAAAATTCATTCAAAAATCAAACACACCGATATATAACAAAACAACAACAAGAAAAGCAGCTGTTCGAAGAAATCTTTTAATTTTTCTTTGATCAAAAAACGGGATACATTCGATTTTTTTTGGATGTTTAAGTTTTACAAATGATAAAGGTTATAATTCAAGAAAATTTTTGAAAAAAAACACATACCGAAAACTTGAAAAAAAATGATAAAATATGAATTGAACAGAACGAAAAAAAAATTGAAAAAACAAAAAATATAATAACGAGTCAACCAAACAAACAACCGCCTCTCTTTATTTTTTTTTCTTCGCTGGCAATCAAATGGCGTAACAAGCAACGAAAAAAACAGTGAAAAAAAAAATTGCCATTGTAAATTGAAAGTCCAACGCCATCGCACACTTTATTTAACTGGCGCTGCAAGACTATGTTCGATATACGCATGTCTAAATCGAATATTGTGTTTTTTTTTTCATTCGATTCATTCGAATTAACCAAAAAAAATAAAAAATTTCTTTTTTATTAATCATTTTTACGCCCTCAACTTGATTGGAAAAAATTAAAAAAATTTTAATGAAATTTTGCATTTTTTTGTTGTTGTTGTTGTTTTGTTTAAAATCAATTGTCTATTGTCTATTGAAATTGTTTGTTTGATTGTAGCAATTTGATGTTTGTTTTTTTTGTTTTTGGTTTTGGAAAATCATTCCATTAAAAAAAAAGGGTAAAATAATGATTATCTTTTATCCAAAAAATGATGAATCTAATGATGATAATGATTAATTTTTTTCTCAGCTTTCATTTTTTTTTGTTAAAGTTAGTCACATTTTTCGACACGAATGATCATCATCGATAAAAACAAATTGATAAAACGTACCTTTTGAATTCGAATATTGTTTTGTTTGTTTGTGAATAAAGACAGAATAGCTAAAATTTCATCATTTTTTTTTGTTCCAAAATCAATAATGTTATTAGCTAATAGCATTTACGATGATTTGAAATGAAAATGAATCGAATGATGACTTATTGATAATGATTTGCACAACAATTGATTGGTTTTTTTTTGGATGGAAGACTTTATTCTATTCAAAAGATGATGATTATAAATACTGATAAAACAAAACAAAACAAACAGATAAAACAGATAACAACCAAAAATCGAATCGAATCAACATCAAAGATCAAATGTTGAAGAACCAAAATAATGCTGGCCAAATTGTAGCGAAGAAAGAAAGAAAGAAAAAGGCCCTTGATGTGACTCACTTGGATTTCTAAGTCGTTTTTTTTGGATAGCCAAAAAAAACAAGGCAACGAAGAATTTTTTGTTCGTTCTTTCGTTCTTCTTGTGAAGGTCTTTAACGCTATTCAACCAACCAATAACACTGGCCTATATAGATGGGAAAAGTTTTTTTTTTGAAAATCAATTGCGCCGGTTTCCCATTTTCGATGGTGATATCCCAACAACCAGAAAAAAATTTTTGGGTTCCAAAATAACGCGCAAACGCTAAATCATTTCTCTTTTTTGGTCAATGGTTCCATCATCCGTACATATACATCAAAATGCTATACAATTTCTCCTATTTCATTTCAATGTTGACTGATAGCATCTGTATTTTTTTTATTTTATTTTTGGGGGGTAAATACTTTACATATTTGAATGATGAATAGTTTAATTGAATAATTTTTTGGTCAGAAATAACAGAAAAAATATGATGTGAAAATTGGTTTTTTTTGGTTTTTCGTTTTTTTTTGACTTTTCAAAGATCCTCAAACCAATAACCATTAGTCCATTTTTCTAATAAATTTCTTGTCACCATCCATAAACGATTTTGTTGATCCAAATTATATGATAATGAACTTGATCGTACTGGTTTACTATCTTCAAAATATTCACCATTTTTGCGATTTAATTGACTTGATAATGAAGCGTAGATAATTGTTTCGGCACCGGCTTTTGTATCCTATTTGAATTTTTTTGAAAAAATGAAACAATCGATTATTAATCGATGATATCGATTATATCGTTCATCGAAAAATCGAAAATCGAATACAAAAAAAAAATACATACACGAAATGTTAATTGATTAGCTAATAATGGATATTGTTTCATAATATCAATAGTATTCAATAGATCAGTATCAACTAGACCAGGATGTACAGCAAATACTTTTACTCGTTCATTCCAATCTTGTTGTTTAATTGATAATGTACGATTTAATGAATAAATAAACATTAATACGGATAATTTGGATAAACCATATTGATAATGTGGTGAATAAACTTGTAATGCTTGTAAATCATTATAACGTATACGTGTTGGTATATGATGTAGACAAGATGTAACCAAAACCAATCTTGATTGATCACGTTGTTGTTTGGCTGTACGATATAAATATGGTAATAAATGATATGACATCAGAACATGACCAAGATAATTGATTGAAAATTGTGATTCAAAACCATCTTCAGATAATTTAAATGGTGGAAACATAACACCAGCATTACCAATAAAATAATTTAAACGGGTATCATTTTGATTTTTAAATCGATCCAAAAATCTTATAACCGAATTCATTGACATAAGATCAAGATGCCATATTTCTAAATTCCATTTTCCTTCAGGTATTCCTTTGGTTATTGATTGAAATCTTGATTCAATTTTCCCTGGATCATTCGATGAAGCAGTGGTTATAACACGTGCACCTTTACGTAAAAATGATCGAACAATTTCAACACCTAAACCACGACTACCACCAGTAATTATGGCAACTTTTCCTTCTAAATTTCCCCGTATATCTGGATCATTTTCATTCAATATACGAATATTATTCTGATATGGTGCAACTTTACGTTGATGTTCACGTAAAAGATATGGTAAAACAACAGCATAAAATTGTAAACGATTAGCGGTTATGAATACCGGATCTATGGTGAGTAAAATTATAAATGAAAACCATTAACGTAATTTCATTAATGTTTTACAAATTTTTGAAAAATGACAACAATATCAGTATACTCACTAATGACAACTTCAAAACCTCGAACATTATTATCACTATGATGTGATAGAATGGCTAAAGCCGAAAGAATTGGTGCAAAAATATTCATTATTTTTTCTATTTAAAAATTAGAATGGCCAAAATATTTTTTTTGGGTTTTTCGCACAGAACAGAAATTACACTATTTGAGATGGATTTACCAATCTCAAATCAAAATGAAATTGATTTCCTGATTTCGACACTAAAAAAATGTAGGGTATGTGAACGAGAAAACAGCAGCAAAAAAACGTTGTCAACAAATTTTTGGAAAAATTTTTTTGGTTTCATCAAAAATTTGTTTTTTTTTCGTTTTAAATGTCCAAAAATTTTTTTGCCAAAATTTTTTCATTTTGAAATTGAAAAAAAAACTTCTTTTTACACATGCGCACATTGCTGTTGTTGATGGGTTTCTCCAACGTCATTCGATTCGAACGAATTGTGATCACACCTCGTGTTTTTTTGCAAGTGAAAATTACGTGTTTAACACATGGTTGGTAAATATAGAAAGTAAAAAAAAAATTCTCAATTTCAAAACAATTTTCAGGTGTTTGTGTGTTTAAACACAATGAATTTAACAAACAATCAAAAATTTTCAATCAATCATGATCCTATCAAGGTAATATTTGTATTTTGGTTTTTGAAATGAATCTTTTTCTGATCATATATTGATCATATATTTAAACAGGGACGATGTTTAATAGCAAACGAAACAATTTATACTGGTGAAATTATATTCGAAGAATTACCATTAGTTTGTTCACAATTTTTATGGAATGCTGAATGTAAATATGATGCTTGTCAATTTTGTTTAACACCATTAGAAACGGCCGAAGAAAATGTTACTCGATTGACAAAAGAACAAATACAATTACCATACGTTGAACAATGTTGTCAAACAAACAAATCCAAACATATCAATTGTTCGGGTTGTGGACAAAATGAACGATATTGTTCGATTGAATGTTGTCAACTTGCTTATGAACATTATCATCAATTATTATGTCCTTCACGATCGAAAGAATTGGAAAATAATTTGAATAAATTATGTGATTTATGGAAATCAATTCATTATCCACCCGAAACGGCTAGTATAATGTTATTGGTAAAAATTTTGGCCCGAATTAAACAAGATCCAACATTTATTGAAAAATTACAACAATTTTCAAGTAATATTATTGTTGAACAAACGGATAAACTTGTTCATATTCTATGTGGAGATAAATTTCATGAACAAATTGAAATTCTTCGACAAATTGTTTCGGAAATATTTTCACCAAATGATGAAATATTACGACCATTTCTCACTGAAAATGGTTTCAAATCATTATTGGCAATAATTGGAAAAAATGGTCAAGGAATTGGTACCAGTGCATTTAGTCAATATGCAAAAAATTGTGAACAATTTTTTGCCAATAACCCAGAAGAATTGGATAAAATTAATCAATTAACTGATAATTTATTTGACAAAATGGATGAAATTTCTGGTTGTTTTTTAAACAATGAAGGATCTGGTCTTTATGAATTACAAAGTTGTATTAATCATAGTTGTCAACCAAATAGTGAAGTATGTTTTTTAAAAAATAATTTTATTCTTTCATTGAAAGCAATAGAAACAATTAATCAAGGTGAAGAAATTACTATTTGTTATTTGGATGAATGTTGGCAAAATCGTAGCCGTCATAGTCGAAATAAATATTTACGAAAAAATTATCTATTCATTTGTCAATGTCGAAAATGTCAACAACAGATTAATGATCCGGATGTTACCAGTGATGATGAAGAAGATTCAGATTTACAATCAAATCCTGATGACGCAATGATGATGTAATGAATTGTGATTGAAAATGTTTCAAATAAAATTCTTAGTTAAAATGAATTTAATTTTTTTTTGTTTTTGTTTCGAAATTTCGCGAATTTGACGTGAAAAGAAAAACACAAAATTGTTGACCGCAGTTTTTTGAACAGTTTTCAAATCAATTCGCTAGATGGATCTACTTTCAATGGATATCGAATGTATTCAATTAAATGCGTTTTGCCAAAAAAACATTTCTCGTTTTTTAATTTGTTTGTAAATCGATACAATCGAAATTGAATAAGGCATTTTTTATTTCATTCATTCAATCAAATCAAATGTATTATTACATAAAAAAATTGATTAAAATTCCGTAAGTTTTAAATGTTGATCTCTTTTCTCTCGTCTATACATTGTTGACAATCACAATCACCATCGAATCAATCAGACAAATCATATTATATTTGATTATCAGCGCTTTGTTCAATCATTTATCAATCAATTTTCGTTGCTAACCATATTGGACTTGGACGGATTATCTTACAAATTTTCGAAAGAGAGAGAGAGAGAGAAAAAAAAAACAACAAGCAATCATGTCGTTTTTGCAATCATACATTAATATTCCAAAAGATTTATTATACAATTGTTTTTCTTATCTAAATTATTCAAGTCAAAAAATGGCAACACAATCCGCACCGACACCTAAATTAAATTTTCAATTAATTGCTCAACAATATTCTGCATCACCATGGATTAAAATTGCTGCAATTTGTGGTGCTTCAGCCGTTGTTCTTGGTGCATATGGAGCACATGGTCTGTATTTCTTTTCGTTTTTTTTATGTGGAAAATTTAATCTTCAACCGAAACCAATTTTATTAACTTTTTTTAAAGGATTAAAAAAATCGGACAAACGAGCCATTTTTGAAACAGCTAATCGTTATCATTTTTATCATTCATTAGCATTGTTGGCAACTCCTTTTGTACATCGACCAAATTTGGTAAATCAAATCAAATCAAATCAATGAGTTATGTCAATAATGTTGATTATCATTTTTATATATTTTAATATATATTTAGGTTGGTGGATTATTTCTTGGCGGTATGATGATATTTTCTGGAACATGTTATTGTAATGCTATTACTGGTAATGAAATGGTTGTACGATTTACACCATTCGGTGGTATGATGTTCATTTTGGGTTGGTTGGCCATGTTTATTTAGTTTCAATTTACAAATTTTTCTAAATTTCTCAAATATTATTCATTCTTTTTTTTTTTTTGTTTAATTTGAATAAATCTACTCTTTTTTTTCGTTAAAATTATCGTTATTGAAGTGTGATAAGATAAATGACTTTTTGGTGTATGTTTATTTACGACGAAACGATATTTTTGTTTGCAAAAATTTTTTTTTGATTTTTGATTTTTGATCGTTTTTGTTTTTGTTGTTGCTGTCAACGATGATGTCCATCAAAACTATTTTCGTTTTGATTTTATTCAATTGGATTTTTGCTGATGCTACCCGATCATTTATTGTTGAAACACTACCAAATGAATTAAATTTTTCATTAAATAAATCAAAATCAACATCTGATACATGGTTAGAATTAATAAATTCAGCTCAACATACAATCGATATTGCATCAATGTATTGGACAATGCTCGGTACGGATGTAATGCCAAATCCTGTACCAGAAAGTAAAATTGGTGAAAAAATTATACAATCATTAATTGATTCGGTTCGAAAACGTTCCATTCATTTAAGAATTGTTGTTAATGATCAAAAATCAAATGATAATAATAATAATGAAGATTTGAAAATACTGGGGGAATATTCACAAATACGAAGATTAAATTTCGAACGTTTAATCGGTGCTGGTATTTTACATACAAAATTTATTATTGTAGATCAAAAAGATTTTTACCTGGGTAGTGCTAATATGGATTGGCGTTCATTAACACATGTAAAAGAATTGGGTATTGTTATACAGAATAATCCGGAATTGGCTAAAGATTTATTAAAAATTTTTGAAATGTATTGGTTGATGGGTGAACAGGAATCAATTCTGCCCACAAAATGGCCATCCAAATATAATGCATATTATAATTTAAGTAATCCATATCAAAATCAATTAAATCCAAATGTAAATGATGATAAATATAACATATTTTTAACATCATCACCAAAACAATTTTGTTCCCAAACACGTACAAATGATTTGGATGCATTGATCCAGATTATTGATGAAGCAGAAAAATTCATCTACATTGCTGTTATGGATTATTATCCATTATTTTTATATGAAAAATCTTCACATCATCACTATTGGCCAATTATTGATGATTCATTAAGACGTGCCGTATGGGAACGTAATGTTCAAATTCGTTTACTTGCAAGTTATTGGAATGATACGCGACCATATATGTCAGTGTTTCTAAAATCATTGCAGGCATTGAATTTTCATAACAATAACAATGGTGGTGGTTCAATTGAAACAAAATTATTTCAATTTCCTGAATGTCCATTTAGAAAAAATCCAATTCCATATTCAGGTGTTAATCATAATAAATATATGATTACCGATAAGGTTGTCTATATTGGTACATCAAATTGGTCAGCTGATTATTTTATCAATACAGGTGGTGTTGGTATTGTTTTGAATGTTACCAATTCGAATCATTCACCATTATATGATCAAATTCATAAGATTTTTCAACGTGATTGGAATTCACAATTTGCTAAAAATATTGAATAATCATTTTTTATTTCATTTTGCAATGATATACACAAAAATATAAACACAAAAGATTAAAAATGATTTTTAAAACTTTTCCATTGTTTTATGATAGCTCTTTTTTGATTCGAAAAATATTGCCGTAATGAGCTTGTATAATACCTGTTGTTTTAAAAAATCAAATTGAAATTGAAAAATGATTTTTTTTAAGGAAAAATCAAACAAAAACTTACATTCCAAACAATGTACCACCCATATGTGCAGCATGATCAAATATTTCCCAACGTAAAACAATTCCTAAACCATCCAATAATAGAATACTTTTCAATGCTGTATATGATGAAAATGTAAAAAATGGTAAAAATATTATCATCAATTGAATATCAGGTCGTTCAAGACAAGTTGCACCCAATATGCCCAATATTGCACCACTCTATTTGATAATTTGAAAGTGATGAATGAAATGACGAATGAAAAAATCCATTGAAAACAAATTGCTTACCGCTCCCAATGAAGGTACGGCTGAATTTATGATAACTTTATGTAGACAACTTGTAAACGATGATATTATACCTGAACTAAGATAAAGTGCTAAGAAATTTTCTCGACCAAACAAATGTACAGCAAGATCACAAAATGAATATAAAACAATCATATTCATGCCTAAATGTGTTATTGAATAATGGCTAAAATTTGATAAAATCATTGGCATAATTCGTATGGAACCGGTATCAACTCTTGATATAAAATATCTACTCATCAGATGATTTAATCGTGGTAAACGCCAACAAAAAAACACCAAGCCATTCAATGCTGCAATACCGCAAAATATTTTAAAACCATCTTTACGTCGATCCCAATATTGATTTTTCATCTGTTGAAACCATGATGATCGAGAATTATCAGAATGATTCCATAATGATGGTGTTGAAAATAAATGGTGTTTCAATTTTTTTCCATAAACATTATTTTCATATTCCGCAATAGTTGCTATTGTAAATGATGTTCCACATACAGTTATTGTAAATAAAAATGGTTTCATTAATTTTCCATATTTATTGATTGATTGTTGATATTGTTGTGGTTGTGAATTATGCAAAAATCTTTTGGTAAAATTAATCCGATTTTGTCGATGAAACAATAATGATGATGAAAAAATACGCATTTTCTTTTCGATTGCAAATCCGATCAAATTAATCCATCAAGCAATCCAAAAACCAAACAAACAAAACCAAACAAATCCAGACATGTGACAAGAATTTCGAAAGAATCTGGAAACTTTCCATCAAACAAAAACAAATTTACGGAAAAAAAACTTTCTTGCAAAAGTTTGTTCGTTCGAGGTTGAATCAGAACAGAACAGACGCAGTTCTTCTTTTGGGATTTTTGTTTTCGATTTCACTTTTTTTTCTTGTTTTTTTTGTTTTTGTTTGTTTTTTGGATAAAATCTTTTGAATTCTTTTTTCTGATTTAAATCGCCCCCCAAAAAAAATTGTGATTCAAAATAATTCTCAATCGAATGATGATGATAATAATGAATTGAATTGGGCTTGAATCTTTTCAATTATGGATAATTTAAAGGTAAATTTTTTTTTGGATTTGATTATCTGATTTGATTATCAAATGAATGAATAATGTTTTGTTTCAATTTATTTCAGTTAATAATATTTGGTTTCAAAGATGGCCTTTATGATTCAATATTTTTTGGAATTTATGTGATAACAACTGTACTCACACAACAACAACAAAGTAAACAATCAATCAATGTTTTAAAACGTATACGACAATGTTGTCTACTTGGTGGCCTTTTAATGGTAAAAAATAAATTAAATTAAATTAATTTTTATACCGATTGATAATGTTCTTCTATCATTTGTTATATTTAGTTTTCTATGATAATTTTTAATTATTTTTTACAATTGTTAAATATAATTGTTACAATAATATTTGGTTCACAACAACAATATGGTACAACATGGTTATGGTTAGAATCAACATTATCAACATTATTTTCGGCATTATGGGTTTTACCATTAATATTTCTAAGTCGTATTGTGACCGCTTTATGGTTTCAAGTTAGTTGTTATTTAATTAATTTTATAAAATTCAAAAAATTTCATTTTTCTCTTCGTTTGTCAAATTTAGGATATAGCAGATATTTCATTCAAAGGCCGGCCACAAGCTTTCAAAAGCATTTCAAAATTAATTGCTGACACTTTGTTTAGCATGTTGATACAGATTTTATTTTTGATACAGGTAAAATTATTATTGTTCGATATTGAGTGGATTCAAATTCACATTTTCATTTCATTTCATTCGACACTTTTCATATACAGGCAAATCTATTCTATTTTTTTCCGATCAAATTTATCGGTCAATTATTGAGTATTCTACATACAAGCCTTCTTTATTCATTATATTCATTTGAATATAAATGGTTTAATATGGGTAAGATTCAAAGCAAAAAAAAGTTTTTTTTTGGAAAATTAACAATTTATCGATTCCACAAAATATAGGCTGGGAATTATATAAACGATTACATTATATTGAACGAATGTGGCCATATTTTTTTGGATTTGGACTTCCATTAGCTTTAGTTACACATTCACTTCCAAATTATTATCTAAATACGGCTTGTTTTGCATTTTTATTTCCTTTATTCATTTTAAGTGCAAATGAAACACATCTTGACCTTAAAAAAAGGTATGATTAATTTGATTGAAATTGACTTTGATATACTTCTTTATCTGATTTTTTTTTCAAACTCATAGTGATCATAAAATACCATTCTTTTCGGGTGTTGTTTGGATTTCCAATAAATTAATGATAGTCCTTCCATAAATCAATTTGCAAAACGAAATACCTGGATAATAATTATGGAATAATTCAAATTTATAACCAAAAAACTCAAACTCAATGATGATGATTCACAAGAAAAACAAAATTTAATTTTATCAATTTTTTTTTATTTACATATTTCTATCTGTGTTTGTGTGTGTATGTGAATGAATATTTGATGTGTGTTGGTGTTGATGTTTGATGAGCTGCAAATATTTTTTTTTCTTAAATTAACAAATATTAACTGTAAATCTGAATATTTATCTAATTATAACGAAATGTAAACAAAAAGTTTCTTCTGACCTGTCCATCGAAACAAGAAATCCACCCCCTCACACTACACAATGATTTTGTTTTTTGTTTCTCATCATCATCATTTTTTTAAAAAACATAAATTAAAGAAAAAAAACATCTATTAAAATTCTAGTTATGTGTTTGTGGAAAATTCAAATCAATTAATAAAATATTGTAATAAGCGATAAGGCGATCTTCTTATTTTTAGAAATATCCATTGTGTGTGTGAATTTGAACTGAATTTATATTATAATCTGACTTAGAACTTGGTGGATGTTTGTTGATTGCATTGTTTGTTTGTTTGTTTGCTTTTTTTTGCATTAGGCGACCGAGATTCAACAAAAAGGAAATATAATAATAATAATTAGTGAAAACAATAATTTAAAAGGAACCGAATAACAGAACAGATATATTATAGAGAGAGAGAAAAAAAGGAAAAAAGAGAAAAGAATTCAGAATAATCTTGGTGGTGAAATAATAAGAAAGGTGCCCAAATTTTATATTGGTAATTTTTTTTATATCTCGTTATTGTTTTTTATGTGAGTTTAGAATTTTTTGTTTTGTTTTGTTTCGAATTAGAATTTTAGAAACCATCAACTAATAATTCAAAATGAACACTTCCTTCACGATCCATACGATTGTGTTTGATATTATGTGCCCAGGCTTTACATTCAACATTGATCAATACACCGGGTTGTGGTTTTTTGAAATGAACAAAAACAAATGGTGATAAATAACCCGGTTGATTGGTGAATGGGAAATATTTAAATTCGATTCCTTGTTGTGGATAATATTCAATTTCACCAACATTTTCTTTATCGGCAGCGTTCTAAAGAAAAAAAAACAAATTAAAATGATAGTTAAATATAGTTATCATAAGATAGTTAATGAATACATACTTCGCCTTCACAAGTGATATAGATCAATTGACTGGCATTATTCGGACGTGTTGGATAGCTTTTTCGAACAACATCAGGAATGTGTGAATCTCTTAATTCGCTTTCTGAAAATGCTTGAGGTTTCCAGTTGAAAATCTATTTTTTTTCATTTGAAAATGTATCATTTAACAAATATTAAACGGTTCATTGATTATCAATGTCAAATTTTTTTTTAAATACCTTGTTCAATTTGATCAAAACACAAGGATCGCCACGTTGATAACCAAAATGATTTTCCACCGAGCATTGGCTTGGAATGGTATTGATATCAAAATGACAGAATTTGCCTTCACTAGCCATTTGGTTATCGCCACAATTTTCAACATGAGCACCAGCATCAATTGTTGATTTTTTGTATGCTATTTTGTTTGTATATCACACAAACAATAAAATTAATTTAAGAAATGATTTTAGATATAAAATAAAACATACGATCTAAAAATTCCTGAAGACTATCCGACCAATATTTCCAATTATCTTCATTGTTGCCATTTTTAAACCAAATCAATGTACTGTCAATATTTTCATCTTTTGGTCTTGGTCTAAAACCGAGTCCTATTTTTTGTGATGAAATTTGAAAATACAAAAAAAGAAATATTCAAGTACATTCAAGTCATATCATTTTTTTTCAAATGTACCTGGATTAGCTCCGATTCTACTTTCTTCCAATTGATATTTTGGTGCACGATAATCGATTGTTTGGTAGAATATCAACAACATTAATGCCCAGAAAGCAGCCAAACATAAGTAGAAAATTATGTAGAAAACGGTAATTTTGACTTCAAAAACGATTAAATTATGTTTGAAAGAGAAAAATTGATTGAAAATTAATAATGTATTGTACATCAAGGTCGAATTATATGTCATTTCGGGGAGGAGACAGTGTCAATGATTGAAACAACCAAATTTTATGGAGAGAAATGGATATTTAAAAAAATGATAATAAACTTACACCAACTGCCACCAGTACGGCCCAAAAATTCACCAGTTTCAGCATTCCATAAAAATTTTGAAAATTTTTGCCAACCAGATTGTTTGTCACCATATTTTTCATCTTTATTTGCCATTTTTATTAGTTGATTTTTTTGATTTATTTGAACGATAGAAAAACAAAATGAATTTCAATTCCTATTGATGTTAATTAATGAAAAAAAACCACAGAATAATCAGTGATAATTAGAAAAACAGAAAAAATGATGAAAAGAATATTCTCTTGTAACAAGAAAAAACAAACAAACACAAAAATTGAGTAGAATATTCAAAAAAAAGGCCAGAGAAAAAACACACACCAGAGTTGAATTATCCTCGAATTTGACTTTCTTTTGCTGCTGCTGCTTCTTCAATCGATGATGTTGAATATTATGTGCGGATGATAATGTTGCCGTTGTGGTCGTTCGACATACAAAAAACAAGAAAAAGAAATGAAAATTATATTTCGTAAAACCCAAAAGCAAGAACGCAACACACACACACGAACACAAGATTATGAAGGGAGCCACAAATAATTTTCATCTCTTTATATAAATATAGCGCGCATTATAAATTTTTTTTTTTTTTTTTGTTTTCATTACTTACTTTGAAGAAGGGGGATACAAATTCTAAAAAAAAAAATTGTTAAAAATGCTAAAACCNTCGTAAAACCCAAAAGCAAGAACGCAACACACACACACGAACACAAGATTATGAAGGGAGCCACAAATAATTTTCATCTCTTTATATAAAAATAGCGCGCATTTTAAATTTTTTTTTTTTTTTTTTGATTTCATTACTTACTTTGAAGAAGGTGGATACAAATTCTAAAAAAAGAAATTGTTAAAAATGCTACTACCATTTGAAAACAACCACAATAAAAATTGCCTGTATTTTTATGCTGCTGCTTTTGATATTCTTTTTTGATATGGTGCTTCTACAACAATAACAATAATAATGTTTTTTGCATTCAAATATATTTCGAAGTCTGACTTTGTCGATTTGTGTGATTGCGGACGCCAAAAGGACATTTGAAATTTCACATTATTATATAGCGATGATGCGTGTGTGCGGTGGGGGGAGAAACTTGAAGCAATTGAATCAACTTGAAAATTCAGCGCAAACTCTTGAATAATAATTTTTTTCGAATGAATACAACACAGACGCCCAATTCAATGATAAAAAATCCCTAAAATGATTTGCAAACATCTTGATTTGTTTATAATTGGCGCCATCAATCATTATTGATATTTTGTCAATGTGAATTGATTGATTGATTGGTTTGAATGATGTTTTTCATTTATGAATCTTTAATTTTTTTCCAATGATCTTTGGTGGTTAATTACACAAGATTTAGCCAAATTGCAACATGGATCCGATGTGTTTTTTTCCTACTTTTTTCTGGTTTGGTTTAATAGAAAAAAGTAGGTGTTTTTTTCTGGTTGGTTAGTGGTGGTCGCATCCATTCATTGCTATCATTGATGATGATGACGATGACGGTGAACAAAAAAAACGGAAAATCATTTATTAAACTTTATATATTTATAGAGAGATGATATATATAAAAAAATTTATAATTTATAACTTTTTATGATGATAATAATAATGATGGTAGATGTTTCTTTCTTCTATGTCATCATCATCATCATAGAGATACATATATATTTTACAATGTTTCTATGTTGTAAAAAATGAAATTTTTGATTTTTGATTTTTCACCGGATATTATTTGTTGTTGTTGTTAATGAATTGTAGATTTTTTTTCTTTCTCTTTTTTTAGATGTCAAATCAATGATGATGATGATGATAATAATTTTTCTTTTTTTCGTTGATGGTCGATATGTCATTGTTATCATTGTCATCATTGACGATGACATTACATTCGAAATTCGAATGTACAAAAAAAAAATGATGGACGACTTATATCGATAGGTCGATTGTTTTGGTTTGTTCAAACAGTTTCGGTTAATGAAAAAGGTTAAATTTTTTTTTTGTTTTGTTTTGTTTCACCCCCGAAACAACAACAAAAATATAATATTCCTTAACATGTTTTATTTTCTGTTTTTTGTTTCGATTGTTTTGTTTTTCTGAATGACAATGAGAATAATTTATTCGGTTTTGGTTTCTGGGTTACGTGCATTGGCTTTAGTTTGCTCAATTAAAAAAAAAAAAAGTTTATCATTTTCATCCGTTAGCCGACGAAATGGTTTTTCACCATTTATCCACCATGTGTGTGTGTGTGCGTTCATCGATTATCTAAATTAACTAAAAACAATTTTTATCATCCAATTTTCTTGAAAATAATGTCTGATTTGGATAACGAAAGGAACGAGCAAGAAAGAAAAAAAATTCGGTCATATTTAATCAACAAGAAGAAGATAGATAGAAAGAAAGAAAACCAATCAATCAATCAATGAAATCTAATCAAAAGCAAAGAAAATAATAAACAAAAAATCCAATTTTTTTTGTTCTGTTTCAAAATAATCTCACCATTAGACGATAATTTCTTTCTTTCTTTTCTGGGATAAAATTCAATTTCCAAAATGCGCATGCGTCAATCGAACATTCAAAAAACGTTCGAATTTTCGAATTATGAACCAGACCAAAGCTAATTTATGGAAAAAATTTTTTCAATTTTAAAATTTTTAATTTTGTTTTTAATTTTATTATCATTATCATCATCATTGAGAAAACAAAAAATGTCGAAATAACAAAATACAATTATCGAATTTTTGAATAACCAAAAAAAAGAAAAAATAAGATCAATAAGTGACCAAAGAAAATTCGGTAGGCTGTTTTTTCCTTCATCATTGAACAACATTAACATTGAGAAGAAGGCATCTTTTTCTTAATCATCAATCATTTTAGGTGAATCGTTGAGGTGTGTGTGTGTTTTGGGTGAAAAAAGACTAGAAAAACAATAACTTTATGACTGAATAATTGTTTGTTACATAAATTTTTTGCTGTTGTTGTTGTTGTTGTTTTCATATAAAAAATATATAAGGCATGTTGTGTTTTTTATATCCAGGATTCATCATTGGACTAGAATATTCTTTTATAATAGGCTTCCATTTTCGTGACAATTTTTTTTTCTTAAATATTCGAATGACGGTTTGTGAGATGTGATGAAAAATGAAGGTGATTATGTTTGTGTGTGTGTGTGATGAGAAAATATTTTTCATTTTTAAGTTTTCATTGTTTTTCAGAATTAATTAGATTAATTAATTGAAAAATATCACAGTAAAAACAGAACAATGAACGTTGCAATAATGATAATGATGGTGACTTTAAATTGATTTTTCGTGGTTTGTCTTGAAGTGTGTGTGTGTTGAATTTTTTTGTTTAAATAAAAATTTGAAAAAATGCACAGGTTTCACAATGTACAAACATCAGAAAAAAAATCGATTCTTGAAATGTGTTGGTGTTTTTGAAAACTTGAAAAAAAATTTCTGAATCGATCCAACAGCGAAAAAAAATGAACATAGACAAAAACCAAATGCAAAATACTTGGACATCTTCCTCACTCTCTCTCTTGTTTGAGATTCAGAGAAAGTACACAATAATAATTCGAGACAGAAAGAAAGTGAAGAAAATAAAAAAAATTCAAAAGTCAATTATAAATCTTGATAAATGAAAGAATTCTGTTTAAGTAATTCTGTTGATTGTTGATTGAAAATTCTCTAATATCGAGGAATCTGATTTGCTTGATTCAGAAGAGGAAAATAAACTGCAAAAAAAACAAAAGATATTGGTCATTAGTGATAAAATAAGCTGTCTCCAACATAATGAATTGAAAAAAAACTTACAAGATAAAGGAACCAATGGTTGTGGCATTGCAAATGCTTGATGTTGTGGATACTGTAAATGCTGTGGTTGTTGATGATAATGATGATGATGATTATTAGCTGCCGCAGCATATGCAGCTGCCGCTGCTGCAGTTGAATTTGGATGCGTCAATGATAATGGTGCTATTTGATGGTGGCCAATATTATGATGATGAAATAATGATGGTGTACCATTCTTATCCAATGCTGTTCGTTTTGTCATTGGATATGCACCGCTTATTTGCTGTTTGGGTTGGAAAAAGAAAAATAATAAAATAATAATGACAATTAGAAAAATGGATTAAAAAATTAAATAAAATTTTTTGAAAAATGAGACCATTAATAATTCATCATTTGATTCACGTGTACGTTTACGTCCAGTATTAGCAACAGCAGCTACAGCTGCAATATTAGCTACAGCCGCCGCAGCAGCAGCAGCATGATTGATTGTTGAAGCATTAACATCGGTCGTCAATACATGTGTCGGCGATGGCTTTATTAATCAGACAAAACATAAACATCGAAATAAAAAAAAAAAAAAAGATTCGTCCATCCGCCGTCGAAAGCCAAAAAAATCATTATTCAAAGNGCTACAGCCGCCGCAGCAGCAGCAGCATGATTGATTGTTGAAGCATTAACATCGGTCGTCAATACATGTGTCGGCTATGGCTTTATTAATCAGACAAAACATAAACATCGAAAAAAAAAAAAAAAAGATTCGTCCATCCGCCGTCGAAAGCCATACAAATCATTATTCAAAGCATTTACAAAGCAATTTTTTTTCAAAACAATAATAAGGTGAATCCAAAGAAATTTTTTTTTTGTTTGTTTCAGACGAAGGTTTCATATATCATTCGATGAATAATCATGAAATTAAAAAAATGAAAAAGAAAAAATAGATCAAAATTAATTTCATTTGATTCAGGAATAAGTTTTGATTTTAGTTATTTTTCAATGACACCGATAAATTCGTACCTCGAGCGAAGCAGTATTATTAGTTGCCGTACCATTCTGTGAATCAACACCACTACCACCATTAACACCGGAAGAAGTTGAAGCGGCTGCTGCACAAGCAGCAGCAGCAGCCGCAGCAGCACGAATTTTATTTGCATTCACATTATTCATTGTAATCATATGATTATTATTATTTGATGAAGATGATGTTGTTGCTGTTGTCGTTGATGTTGAAATTTGTTGTTGTTGTTGTTGAGGCGGTGGTGGCGGTGATGTTAACGAACCATACGATCCAAATTGATCGGGTGCCATCAACATAGCAGCGGCAGCAGCAGCAGCCGCAGCTGGTGTTGTCGTATAAGCTCCATAAGCAGCAGATGAAGCGGCAGCTATTGCGGATAAATTTGACAGATAAGGATTCGGTGCCTAAGATGAATCAAAAAAAAATGGCCATTGTTGAATTTAAAAAAAATCAATACAAATTGATAATGGTAAATGGAGTGAATAGTAATAGTGATTATTCTATTATAACACTAAAATCAATCATAAAAGTCAAGAATATTCATTCACCAGGCAAACATTCTACAGACATTCTACAGCTTACCTTTGCTGATAAAGTACAATTAGGTATTATCAATGAACCATTCAATTGTGAAGCATTTGTAAAAGCAGCCATTGGATTATTATTATTATTAATATTAGCGGCAGAGCCATTGATCATCAATGATGATGAAATATTATTATGAGGAACGGGTATTGTTGTTGAAAATGGTTGCGGATGTTGTTGTTGTTGTTGATTGAAAAGATTTGTTCTTTGATATGCATTCAACAGGTTAGATGATGCAATCGAACCAACCTAACCAATGCATTATATTATTGTTATGGATTTTGACAAAAAACATGCAAAAAAGAAAAAAAAAGTAAAGAAAATAACATGAAAGAATCATAAGAAAACATCACCATTATCATGATTTGTAGAATTTAGCTTTGAAATGAAAATTAGAAAGCAAGCAAGCAAGCAAATTTATTGATTTCTTTCATTTCATAGAATTTAAATCAAAATAAACATTTGAAAAGTGGTTTATTTTGGTAAGAATTCAACAACAACAAAAAAAATTCTTTGCCAATAGTTTTCAAACCTTTTTTTTTTGTTTGCATTATTTGGATTATTTGAAAGAAAATAAATATTTTTAAAAAGTGATGCAAAATTTAAAACGAAAAAAGAGCAAAAAGCAATGATTAATTAAAGACAGGAAAAAAATCATTCTTGAAAATAAAAACCTATATATATCGAGCATTCAAATTCATGCAATCCAAAAAAAATGATGTTTGCAAAGTCATTTTATGTCAGTTCAGTTCAGTTTATTTATTTATTTTGTTTGGATGGTAATTAATTTTCATGCACAAATGTTGTCATCTTGATGTCAAATGTATTTATTATATACTCAAAACTCAATGATGATAACCATCAAACAGATGAAGATCATCTTAGTGTTATGTATATTTAAAGCGGTAAAGCAATTTTAAGGGAAATTCTTCTTCTTTTTTAAAAAAAACTTGACTAACGTAATCGGATCGTTAACGCGAGAATAAATAAATAACCCCAAAAGAACTGGAAGAAAAACGATTCAAATTCTTTACAACAACAACAACAACATAAATATTTAGTTTCGTTTTGTTCTGCTTGTTTTTTTTTGTAGAATTTTAAAACGACTACGAAACAAAATAAAAAAAAGGAGAAAAAAAACAACTTACCATTGGTAATTGACCAGTAAGAACTGTTTGAAATGGCACTTGATGATGTAATAAGGCATTTTTTAAGGCCAAATGATTTTTACCATTAATTATTAATTGTTCTTTTAAATGTTTAGGTGGATGAAAATATTTACATGGTGGTTTTTCACGATTACATCGTCCCTTATTATTTAATAAAAATGTGGATCAAATTAATTAATCAATTGGAAGAAAATTTCAGAAAAGAAAAAAAAAATCTCAAATCCTTACCTTTATCGAATCATAACAGGCAATAACACGTCCATTTTGTATTTCAACATTCGTACCTGGATGTGCAAATTTACATTCCGAATCTGAACGTGTACATTTATTTCGTTGAAATTCACGACAAACTTCTAATTGTAACCAACGTGAATCTTTTACATTTAACAATGGATTTACATGTAATGACATGATTGATTTTGATTATTGGAAGAATTTAATGAAAAATTGTTTGTCGATCAAAATGTACACAGTAAATTGGAGGGGAAATGCACACAAAAATCACAATGGTGTTAAAACACACACAGATCACACACAAAAACACACCGTTGATTTCGGACGAATTCGGAAGAAAAAAAGAAAAAAGTAAAAAAAAAATTCTTTTAAATTTTTCAACAAAAACAAAATTCATGAAAAGAAATTCTTAATTTGCGGTAGCGATTAGATGTGTGTGTGTGTGTGTGTCTAGATGGATGATAGCAATCTTTGTGTGAGTGCGATGATTGAAAAAATCTTTTTCTTTGATGCTTCAAAAACAATTTAACTTTCTTTGGACAGGCTTTAAAACAAGGCAATCAAGTAGGCAATCAGCAGCAGCAGCGGCAGCAATAGCAAAATTGTTTCAAAGCAAAAAAAAAAGTAGCGGTTCTTCTTCGTCGTTTTCTTTTTTGGCTTGCTGAATGATTGTTGATGTTGATTTTTCAAAAAAAAAATTCTTGTCTGTTTTTTTTCACCGATTTTCGCCCCAAAGAAAATCAGAGAATTGAATTTCGATTCTTGTTGTTGATGATGATGATGATGATTATGATGAACATTGATGATTGATGTATTAAATAATTATTCAAGTTTTTTATTTGGTGCAACAACAACAACAGCAGAAAAATAAAACGAAGCAATAAAAACGATTCTTATTTTTTTTCAACGATTTGTAAATAAATATATTTTTTAACACAGCAATTATTCTAGCAATATAGGCAAAGTTGTTGTTGTTGTTTGATGTTGTTTATAGGCAAGAATTATAGGCAATAATAATAGTGATAATGATAAAAATTAGGCAAGACACACATTACTAGATTTTTTTTTAGTTTTTCGAGGGGATGCAAGAATCAATTCACAATTTACGATTTCAGCATAACAATCAGCAAGTAGCAGCAGCAGGCGAAATTGGTGATAAAGAATTTAAAATGTGATAATTTTGCAGTTTGAATGAAAAGAAAAAAGAAAAGGAAGAAAAATTATTTAAAATTTTCTGTTATTTTTTTTCTTTTTACATTAAAAATGAAATTTTGAAAGAAAAAAAAATTTTTTTTGGCAAGAATTTTGAAGAAAAAAAATTGATAAATGATTCGAATCTTTTTTGTTTCGAATGTTTTTTTTTTTTGGTTCGATTTGCGCAAACGCAAAACGAATCGAATCTTTTATATTTTTCGAATGCGAGATTCGTGTTTGTGACGATTAACCAAACCAAAATGTGAAATGAAAAAAACAGAATTTAAAATGAAAAATTTTAAAATTTTTGTTTAGATTTTCTTTCGTTTCGTTAATCTTAACTGGGGATGAAGAAAAATTCTTCAACTTTTCCTATCGTTTGACGTGAGTTAGTGTCGTTGTTGTTGTTATTTTTGGCAAACATCATCAACATCGACATCAACAAAGTTTATGTTTTTGAAAATGATCTTTTTTTTTGTTGATGCAAATGTTTGTATATTGGAATTGTACTGAGTGAATGTTTTGTGCGTATACAATTTGACAGGCGAAAATTTTTTTTTTTGTGAAATAATAAACATATTTCAACCAGCCCAGAACAACAAAAAAAAACGAAACGAGCAGCAAAAAAATGTTTGCCATTTGTTGTTTGTATACAAACCAAAATATATAAATCTCCGAACTAATTATAAAACACACCCAACCAACCAACCAACCAAACAAACCAAAAAAATTTTTTCACATGTTAAACGAATCATCAAATGTAACAAGAAAGAAAGAAAAGCTTCAAAGAATATTGGAGCTCTGTGGATAATGGTAATGTTCAAAATGTTTGTTTATATTCATCATCCATAATAATAATAATAATCGTTTGTTGTTGTAGATTATCATCGATATGATCATGATGATGATGGCCCGGGTGTATATTTAGATTTTCATTTTTATTTATTTTGCACTTATTATAGATTCCTCTATTTTCCAAGAAAAAGAAGAAGATATTAAAGAAGACAACTCAGCATATTTCTGATTATCTGGTAAGATGATGATCATCTTGACAACAACAACAACAGGATCACCACCGCCTATCAATTAAATCAAACTAAACACTTTTTTCTTGTTATAATTTTTGTGTTTGGATAATGAAGAAGAAAAAATGAAAAATTTCCTAATTTGTTTTTAAGGTCGGAAATCAATGTGGGGAAAAAAGAATCGAACCTAATGGAAAAACAACAAAAAACAGAATGACGATTCAGTTCAGTCAATCGAATCTTCAGATCGATTCAATCCATTATTTGGTTTTTGTTAATTGACATCGATTGATCGATTGATTGGCAAAAAAAATCAATATTTTTCCAGAAAAGTATGTTTTCTTTTCCATTTTGGAACATATGTCCTTCTTCCATTTATTTGTGGTTGTTTTTATCATTGTCGTCATGGTATTTTTTTCTTCTCTTCTAAGTGGGGAAAAAAGCAGCCATATCAAGAATGAAAAAAAAATAACGACAGCCAATTTTAGCCAAAAAAAGATTTATTGATGAAAAAAAAGCCATGCCAAAATTCAAAAAAAAAACAAAAATAATCGATTGTATCGATTATGATCAAATCTTACCCTTCGGTCAATCAGAGTGTACAACAACAAAAAACAAAAGGCACTTTGAACTTTTGATTTTTTTGATATCCGGTGTTGTTGATATTTTTAACAAACTATCATCATCGTCATTATTGGAAGCAAAATGTTTCACCGATATACGTGTTACAAAGTTGAAAACTCGAAAATTTACAGCTGTGCAATTGAGCAATATCACACAAAAAAAACAGAAAACAGAAAAAAACGATGTAAAGACACAAGAATTGCAATAATTATCACATCAAGAAGAAAAACAAGAATATTCTATCTAAAACGTTCATAAATTCTGTTAAATGATGATTCTTTTCTTTTAACACTTTGCATCAACAACAAAATCATTTATTATCATCATCATCAATATCATATGTATGTTATGATTATGGGTAAATTTTTTTCAATGATATTTAATTAATAATATCAACCAAATGGTGATGAACGATTAACCAACGAACAAACGAACGATGTTGTGTTTGTTTTTTTTTATTTCAAAAAATTTATTATTATTTTCATTGATTGCTCGTTGTTGTTGTTGTTGTCATTGATGATACTCAAAACAGCCAGAAAAAAAAATATGGTTTTTTTCTAGGTTGAAAGATATCTTTGGTATCCTGGTATCCTGTGTGTGTGTATGTGGTTGGTGTTAGCAGTGTGTTTTGGGTTTGCTGTGTATTTTATTGTTGTATGGTTTTGGTGGTTGGTTAGATTTATCGTCGTCGTCGTTGTTGTCGATCATTATTATTATTATTATTGCACGTTGTCGTCATCGTCATTGTCGTATCCAACCACCAAAAAAAAAAGAAATCAAATAACAAACATTTTTTGGTTGCCAGTATGTTCAGTGCGTTGTTTGTTTGGTGGAGATATCCTATTATCATCAGTGTAATGTACACACACAGTTATTTTTTTTGTCATATGGTTACCAAAGAAAATGTTGTTGTTGTTGATGATGATCATCATCATCATGATTTTCATTTTTGTTTGTTTTCTCTCAGTGTGTGTATGTTATTCTGGGTTTTTTTTATATATATAGAAAATTGCCGTGTACACGTGTAGGAGTAGCATAGGAAATTTAAAAAAAAAATTGAAAGAATCCTCCCTATTAGTGTGTGTGTGTGTGGGAATCGATCCAGGAAAAGAATCGAATGGAAGAAAAAACCACCAGAATTTGGTTTTTTTTTTCATTGGCCAAATATTGAGCCAGTTATACAGCGCGACCATAAAGAAAGAAATGAATATTCCTGATTCGATCAGTGGACGGGAAAAATATCGTGAAAAGAAGAACAGAAAAAAAATTAAGATCGACAAATAGAGTAACCGGGTGTGTAATCAGATCATATGTGAGTGTGTATCCAATGACAACGAAAATATTTTTTCCCATTTTTTTCACATTCAGGAAATATATGTTTCAGACAAACAAAACAGAAAAAAATTCCTGAATCTTTTTTGAATGTCATTTTGGTCAATTTTGTTGTTATTATTAGAAACAGAATATTCTTTTCGAGAGAGGGGGAGTGTAGTGGGAAAAAACCAAGGGAACGACGTTTTTTTTACTTTTAAAAATATTTTATTACTTTTTTACTTTACAAAAAAATAAATAAATTTTTTTTACAATTTACATTGGTTAATCCAAATTATTATTATTATTATTGTTGTAATGTTGTAATCGTTAATGGTGGTGGTGGTAATGTTGATGATGATGGTATTATACTTGTTGATTTTTTTATCACTTCCATCCATTTATTAAATGAATATTCACTTTCGGCACGAAAAAAATAAACATGTTTTTTAAATTGTAATTTAAAAACATAATTTTTACTCATATTATCAGCATCTAATGGTATTGATACTGTATAACCGATTACAGGTAAACTTGCTAATGGATAATTATCCTGTAAAGTAATTCAAAAAAAAATCAATGTTTTTTCCCATCATCATCATCAATACTGACAAATGGTCAAACTTACCTCGGCCGTTTTATAAAAAAACAGACAAAAATGTGTAAATTCTACCCAAAGTTTTTGCCAACCACTACTATTTTTAAATTTTCTTAATAAATAACCACTAAATGATACTGTTAATGCATATCGATAATCAAAATTTGTTATCGTACAATTACGTTGCCAACAAACATGTATAATTGTATTTGAACGTGATTGTTGTTGTTGTTGTTGTTGTATGTTATCGATACTAAATTGTTGATTATCATCGCCATTATTACCGTTATTCATCGTTGAAATTGCTGTATTAGTGGTCGCATCATTCAAATTTTTCCAATGTTCATTCAATGCTGAATCAATTTTATCCAATAAATCATTCGATGGTAATGATTGATTTGTTGATATTAATGAATTATTATTGTTTTGTTGTTGTTGTTGTTGTGCAATTGCCGATTCTTTGATTGCCCGTATCCATGATTGGCGGTCAGATTCCGTGCTTGAAAAGCAAAATTGAAAAGTTTTTAGCTGTGAAAAAGGTTTTTCGTTGTTATAAACATACCTGGCAGCTAAAATAAGTATTTTATTACCAACATAAATAGTAAAACAATATGTTTGACCAAATTTCTGTTCAGTTTCTTCAACAAAAACATTATATAATGAAAAATAGCCATGAATTTTAAATTGAAAATTTATATATGTTGTACGACTAGCATAGATTAATAGATCGGAAAACTGTGTTTTTTTTTGGAGGGGGAGAAAAGTATGTTTTATTTGAAATTTTAAAATCAAAAATCAAAAAACAAACCAAAAAAAATAGACGTTGTTGAAATCCTTTTTTGGATAATTTCATCAAACATCCTTCGCGTATAAATCTCTGTTCGAGGAAAAGGAAGAAAGACATTACGCAAAATCCAAAATCAAATCATTAATTATTACCCTTCCCGATTGAACAATATTAACAAAACCGGCAATATCTCTTTGTAATTCGATCAATATGACTAAATTTATCTGTATGAAGAAATGTGGCCAAAAAAATCATTGAATTTTTTTCCAATTTCAAAATATCAAAACATACCAATGAATCCAATGTATTTGAATATTCATGATTGAAATTATTAAGCTGTTCAACGAGGCCTATTGGTAGAAATGACAATATTATCAAGGGATTTTTAAGCAAGTAAAGAAAAAATCGCTTACGTTTTAAATTTAAATAATCACAATGATTTGCGCAATAACAATCGATTAGTTCTGTGGAAAAAACAAAACATTCAGAATGATAAATATTTGTTGTTTTGTTTGTTGCTTACTTTGAATAATTTTAGCATAAAATATTAGATGAAATGCCGGTTTCAATAGAAATGATGTATATGGTAGATAGCAACCTTTTTTTGTTTCAAATTCACGACAAATTTGTTCAAAATCTTTATTTGTACAAAAATTCTGATTAATACGTTCCATTATGAATGGTAAACGTTCGATTATTTGTTCATAATGCTTTTGGAAGATAAAAATTCATTGATTATCGATTGAATCATCAAAGATTAACCAGAAAAACTTACCGACATCCATTTAAGAATTTCATTCAAAACAGTACTTAGTGGTGGCAATGAATCGAATCCATTCTTGTCCCTTTTATTTTGGTTTGATTGAATAAGAATTTGACTGACTGAAAAACAAAAACAAAACTTACCAGATAAAAAGTAAATATTCAACATCGTGTAAAAATTTTTCATGAAAATCAATCAATGGTTCGGATACATTTAATAATAATGATAACATTTCGGCTGAACGTGATGGTTCTTTTGATACATCGTTTCGAAACCACTGGGAAAAAATTTAATTTAAAAATTTTTTTCTTCGAGTCACATTTGACGAAAATACACTTACATCACGCATTGATTCTAAATCTTTAAGAAAAGTTCGTTCGGACATTACCAGATCACGAAATACATAATAATCTTGATTCATACGACGTTTCTACAGAGATTTCGTACAAAATGGTTGAAAATTATTTTCGGTAAACAGACAAAAACTTACAAATCCACGAAATTCTAGCGTAGAATTCAGATTAACCGTTGAAAGATTTAATGTTTGATGAAATGAATCGATAAATGATTGTTGCTGTTGTTGATCATCATCTTGAACATTGAGAAATACTTTTGTTGTTTCGGTTCAAAATACAAACAAACAAAAAAAATTAGTGCTTCAAAATTATCAAAAAAGGAAATATTATCACCCGGAAAACAAAACATTGACAGACAGACAGATTTTAGAGCAGGAAAAAAGCAAAGTTTTATTTTAAAAGAACAGAATAAAATTATTATTGAAAATTAGTTTTTACAAATCAAAAAGTTTTCAAATTTGGTTAATGAAAGTGAAATAAAGAGAGATCAAAGAACACAGGAAAAGTACAGGGTGAGATTTTTTTAAAATAATTTAAATGAATTTAGATAGGAATCAAGTATGTGATCTTGAATCGAACGATTATCACCGGTTTTTGACTTTGTTGCTGCTGTTGTTGATGACGATTGTCGATCATAATAATCATCAATATTTAATTGAAAATTATATTGTTTAAAATCTAATTTAAAACTTTCTAATAAATTATTTAATAAAATATTTACCGATATATCACTATCATCTTTTATAAATAATAATTTTTTCGATTGATTACGAAATAATAAATATAAATGATTTTGTAATTCAAAATTATCCTGTAAACAATTCCATAATGGATCATCAATACTATCATCATGATGATAATAATTTTGTAAATAAGGTAGATTTTTAACAAGAATAAATTTTTTGTTTGTTGTTTTATTTTGTAAATTTGATTTTTTAATTGTCGTATGATTTCGATGATTACTTTTACCGAATGAAAATCTAATTGCCAAATATAATTGTCGCTGTAATCGTAGACTAGCCAAATAATTTTGATTATATTTATAATATTGATCATTTGTTGTTGTAGTTGTTAATTTTTTTGATTTTTGTTTTGTAATTGTATCATGCAATTTATAAGATTTGTTGTTAGCATCGGAGGCTGCTGCTGCAGCAGAAGCAGCCACCGCAGAAGAAGAAGAAGAGGAAAGACAACGATTTTCAGCTACATATGATAATATTGAATGTAAAGAATAATAATTCAAACCTGATGATTGTTTATCGATTGTATCACAACTTTTATGATAATTATTATGATTATGGATTGTTGTTGTTGCTGGTATAGCGGTGGTCTTGGTGGTTATTGTTCCACCATTTGTTTCATTCACTAATGAACCATTTTCATTACGGTGATGATGATTATCGTTGACATGATAATAATCTTTTTGTAGGCTATTAAATTTCATGCTATTCGATCTATAAGGGTTAAGTATATCAATGGATTAATCATTTTCCGTAAAAACAAAACAAAAAAACCAAGAATTACCTTTGAAATGATGGTCGTTGTTGAATGGCTTGATTGTTTGATTTGATAAATTCGGAAATTTGTTGCTGTGTACGTCCAGTATATCTGTTTTAGGATAGCGATCGAATGAATTTTGATTCGAAAAAAATGTTCAAATCGGAAAAATAAAATTACCTAAACGAAGACCCGTGACTAAATATACGAATTTTTTTCCTAGTTTTTTGTTTAATTTCAATACATTTAAAAAATGAATGCTGTTCGATGCATTTTTTCCAAAAATTTTTACATTCATTACGATGTTGAAATACAAATTCCAATACATCGCCGAAAAATTCCTATTATTTTGAAAACCAAAATGAATGTTATTCATTTGAAAACAGATATGAAAATCACCATAATTACCTCTTGATGTAATTTAATAAAAAATCTTTTACGTTTAAAACTTAATTTACGTATTTTCAGCCAATCAAACGTATTAACTTTTGTATAATTTTGAAATATTAATATACCATAATGTACGACAGCCAAATTTAATGGTACACCTTCATGATCTTTAACCGATGATAATTTTACACCATACATTTCTAAATCTTTGGCAATTTCTAAAAATTGTAAATCAGCTTCAGCCGGTGATAGGCCACTAGATTTTTGGTTTGAAAAAAAATTCATTAAAAAAAATTTTTTGGATAAACAAAAGCAAAACATACATTAATTGTTTATGATTTTCCATAACTTTTAATTGAAAATCATCATCTTGATTTGGTATTAATTTAAATTGTGAAATATAATGATAATCAGGATAATCAATTGTATTGAAATCACCACATTCAGCCTGTATAATATATGCTGATAATAATGCAGCTGTATTATCATTCGAAACAAGATCACCTGATGATAAATCTTTTTTCACTTGTAATGCAAATAAATATCTGTTATAAGGGAAAAAAAGATTTGATGAGAATGCAAAAATATTAGCAAAAATCGTATCGTTTACCTTGTCAGTTCATCTTCCAATTTGGATGGTTCGATTGTATAGAATTTTACAGCAAAATTCATATTTAAATTATTCATTGAAAGTGACATTTGTCGATTGATTGGTCGTTCAAGATCCAGCCAATATTGTATTAGATTATTATCATAATATTCGAGGCCAAAATAATCCAATTCAATTAGATTTAATGATTCACAAACTTGATAGAATAGATCTTTGGCCAATGCTTTTTGCTAATTTTTGATCATTGATTGAAAAAATCATTATCAACAATTCCATATTTCAAATTGGAAAAAGAAGAAGAAACTTACATGAATTTGAAAAACAGTTTTTGATTCATCTAAAAAATTAATTACAATATTTACAGGTTGCTGATGATGGTCATTCTTATCCATTTTTTTCATTTTTGTTGCAGAATTTTGTCTGTTTGTTGCTGTTGTTGTTGCTGATGATAATGTCCGTTCAGAATTTGTCGACATCATTATTGATTGGTGATTGTTGGCCATTTCTTTCTTTGGTTGTTTTCAACAAAATTTTGGCCACGAATAAATATATTAATATAAACAAAAAAACACACCCGAAGTAAAGAAAATCAACAAAATAAAATCATTTGGGTGTAGGGTGATTTGGTTTTTGGCAAGAATTCTCTGGATTCTGATTTTGTTTACATAACCGCCAAACAGTGATTCTGAATGAATGAAGAATCCCTTGTTTTTAAAAAAAACGCGAAACATCCAGTCATGAACTTGAAGACCGAAATCAAATCAAAACAAATACTAACACTAAAACACTCATCTGGGTCTTTTTTTTTGCCACCAATTTTTCTAGTTCTTCGTTCTCTCTCTCTCTATATATATGATTGAAGAGATGAAGACATACAGATTCCCCAATAGATATCCCTATCTTTAGTTTGTAATTGTGCACCCATCACAGCCACCACCACAAAATTTCGTGGTATAGACCGTAAGTCTTCGAATCACAACCACACACACACCATTCAATGAATATATCTTTAGCCGAACGAAGAAATGAGAAAAAAAAACCGGCCTTCGGAACATGCGTTCATTTGATTCGAATTTGAATGATGGAAGATACAACAACAAGATAATTCGGCGGAAAATCCAATGACCACAATGACCCAAAAGGAGATCTTTTTTTCGATGAAGAAATTTTTAAAAACACAGATTTTGTTTTTGTTCAAAATAAATATCAACAAACATTTTTAATTATCAATTATTTTATAATATAAACAAAGATTTGAGTGATTTATCGTTGTTGTCGTTTTGTTTTTTTTGGTGTTTGAGGGTTTTTGTGTGTTTGTAATGTTTACGAAGAAGAAGAAGAAGAAATAATAATAATAATAATAATAATAATTTTTTAAAATTTAAATAAAATCAAATTGAAATAAAAATTTTTTAAAAATTTTTGAAAAAAAAAATTTTTGACTGAAATTTGTTTTCGATCGAAAATCGAACGAAAGAAGAAGAAAAAAAGTTCGATCGTAATGCGCAAATACGTTTCGAACGAATTCTTTCTTTCCGCTCATTCTTTCATTCTCTCTCTCTCGAAACATTCGAATTTTATTTGTTTGGTTCGAATGCGAAAACCAAACAAATTTTTTTTGTTTTCCATTAAAATTTAATGAAAATTTTTTTTTAAATTAAATTAAAATTTTTAAATAAAACGATCAAGTCTCAATTAGAATGTGATGGGGTAGTGTCGAAAAGATTTGTACCTGGTTTGTATTTATGTATTGCGTTGTGTGTGTGTGGGTGTTGTATGTGTCATTGAAATTGCCAACAAAGAATCGGCATAAAATAAAGAAAAAAAAGGTAAAGAAATTAATAAATAAATGGATTAACGAAAGCGATTGAATTTTTCTTTAAAAAGGGAAAAGAGAAAGTAAAACACAGATTTGATAATTTGTAAACTGTTTTTGGAGTGGAAGGTATGTTATTTGTAGAAATATCTTCTTCATTTTTTTTTGATCAATTTTGCCTGTATATGGTGGTTGGGTGGTTGGTGTGTTTGAATTCATTCGCATCCGATGATAATGATGATGATGATGATTATGATGACAATGAGGTTTGTATTTAGTTTATTTTTTTTTTTTGTATCTTCACGATGGAATGACGATGATGATGATGATGATGATAATGACAAGATGGATTCTTCAATTCAATTCAATAGAAAAAAAAAGAAAACGGAAAACAAACAAACAAAAAAAGGTTTGGCTGGCTGTGTGATTTGATGAAATTTTTTTTTTCTTCTTTTTTTTCATTTTTTTAATTATCAATATTATTAGATTGAAACAAAAACAACAACAACGATGATCAGGGATTAGTATTGGCAATGACCATAATGATGATGTTGGTGATGATGGCGATGTTGATGATGATGATGAAATCCATGCCGAATTTAATCCGTTTATTCGGCAGTGATTCATTTTTTTTGTTGAATTTTTTTTCTGTTACTGGGATTAATTTTTCGTTTTTGTTTTTTTTTTGAAGAATATTCTATGCAATGGAGAGAGAGGAATAATGTTCAATTCTGGATTCTGTATTTTTTTTTTTTGCTTTTTTCTGATTTTTTTTTTTAAATTCTGTATGATGAAGATGATGATGAACTTTGCATTTGTAAGAAGAGTGTATGTTTTTTGTTTGTTTGTTTGGTTGGTTGTAATATGGTTTTATTGATTTTTGTTGTTGTTGTTTGCATTGGTTGATGATTGATTAATTGATTTTCCTCAACAAAAAAAAAATCGGTTATTTTTGTTTGACGAAAATTTCACATCACATCATATATTCATCATATTATCAATGTTTAGTATAACCATTGATTATCAAAGGTTGTTGTTGTTCACCAACAATACAATCATTAGCCAATGTTGTTGCAGCAGTTGTTGTTGTTGTGGCCAATGTTGATGGCCATTGGCCATTTTGTTGATCCGGTGATTCAATTTGTACCTTGAAATTAGCAAATGAATGCAATAATCTTGCAGCTGTAAACAAAAGAAAAAAGAAAAAGAAAAAGAAAAAAAATCCAAATGTTAAACAAAAACAACATTCTTTTAATAAATTTTCAATACCATTTTCATTACTCTCAAATAATTCTGTTGTTTCGGATGTTGTTTCCAATTCAGATGTTGATGATGTTGATGATACACCTGAACTACATTCACTAATACTACGTTGTTTAGGTATTGTTGTTGGATATTGTATAAAATTTGTATTATCCTGTAATTGGCCAAGACGTTCACGTAAATAATTTTGTTCACGTAATAATTGATCTTTTGTTGATTGATGTCGTTTATCTTTTTCTTCCAAATTCTATATATTGATGAAAAGAAACATTAATCAAACTTCATTCGAAAACAAACAAACAAAAAAAAACTAACCTTAATAAAAGCTTTTGCTTTGGTCAACAAACCTAATGTTGTATGGCGATTAGATTCAGGTCCTAATGGTACAATTTCTTTAAGTTTTTCAAGACAATTACGTAAATGTGCACGTCTAAAATGTAAAAATTTTTGAAATTAATTCATTTCAATTTGAATAGTTTTTTTTTATTTAATTTACCTATTTTTTTCTAATTCATTATGGGTAGTTCTGTAAAGACAAAACAAAACAAAAAAAAAATTGATTAATAAAAGTCCCAAAAAGTCCAGAATATCATTTGTAACCCTTTTTTTCTCATTTGCTAAATTATCATCATCATTTCCACACTTAGGTTAGGTTCATGACCATCAACAAAAAATGATGATAATGATGGTTGGTTGGTGGCGGAGGAAAAAAAAGCCAAATGACCATTATACATAGAGGTCAATGATGGGGAAACAAAACAAAACAAAACAAAAAAAGTCAAGTCAGGTCAGTTTAAACAAGTTGCGCCAGTTTTTTTTTCCTTTTGTATCCTTTTCTTTCTCTCTCTCCCATCATCATCATCGCAACATAGCCAAAGTCACTAACCTTTGTCCACCACCACCACCATCATTACATTTCCATCGTTTTTTCCATTCTCTCAACGGTGGTGTAATATGCAAAAAAAAATCCTTAGCTATTGTTTTTTGTTCAATCTTTTTTTTTCGTTTGGTATTATTATTAGCGACGATTACATAACAAAATAACAACGAAAAAAAAATTTTTCAATTGCCTGGATATTCAGGTTTTTTTTTCATTCGTTGTGTTCCCGAACATGACACACCACACACATGTTCAACACGTCAACAATTTCTCTTCTATATCCAAACACACACGTTCCATCCATGTGTGTAAATAACAACAACGAGATCAAAATTTTGCTGAACTTGGCTTGTGTGTGTTGTGTTTTTGCCGAGTGAAATGAACCTAAAATCTATAACAAATTGACATGATGATGATGATGATCAAGTCAACAACAACAAAAAGAGAAAAAGGAAAAGCGCGGCACATTTTCTAACGAAATCCAAAATTCAAACAACAATAAGAGAGGGCAAAAAGAGGTGTATTTCAAGAGAATTGAATGTGTGTTTGATGCGCCATTTATTTAGGCTATACAGACAGACACATATATTTTCCATAATGATTTTTTTTTTGCTGTCAATGTACGCGCGCGATCGGTAACTTCGTAACTTGTGACACCGAAAAGCTTGCGTGCAAACAACAAAAGCCACAAAATATTATTACACATTATCATCATCATCATCAATATTGAGCCACAACTTAACAACATGAATATCACATGCACACATTTTTTATCCGAAAACATGACAGGATTTGAAAATATATAATGCATGCACACACAAGTCATAATGGGCTATAGCAACAACTGAAATAAGGGGATTAAAAAAAAATAAATAAATCGGTAATGGTCACAATGATAATTTCCTAAACTGTATCAGTTATGGTGTCATAACGTATGTGAAACAAAACAAAACAAAAAATCATGATTCATTGTGACCAATACATTAATTGTAAACGTAAAGAGTGGGGAGGATTCTTTTAGGGCACCAACCAAACCAAACCAACCAACCAACAAAAACAAGGCGGTACACACAAAAGACACAATATACCAACCAATATTCGGGTTGTAACAACAGAAAAATTCACGTATTATTTTTTTTTGTTCAAATCTTGCTGCCACCATTATTATCATCATAACCATTATCATCATTACCATCATCATCATCATCATCATCACTATCATTATCATTATCATCGATAATGAGATTTTCTTGGGTTTGGGGATCTACACTAAAAAAAACAAAACAAAGTACTAAACGCTACGACAAACAATTGGCCCCTCTTTTTTTTCTCTTTCAGTTAATTGAATTTGAACAAAATTTGACAATGAACCAGATTAAAAAACAAAACAAAAAACTCAAGATTCTTTATCTTCGATTCCTTGAGGGAATAGCTATTTACACACACACACACACACACACACACTATATTCACACCTAATAGTGGTTGTGGAATCGAACAAATTCGAATGATGATGATTCATTCGAATTTAGTGGCTATTATGACTAACCAAAAAGGTCAACAGATAATGGTTATCTTTTCTTTCTTTTTTTGTTTGTTTGATAATTTAAAGCAAAAGAAAAAAAATTTTAAAAAAACCAAAATAATCAACAAAACTTACCGACTGCCCAATGATTTTTTGGATTTAGATCGACGTTTATTAGGATCGTGTTGCAGAGGCGTTGCATAACCATGTTCTGCTTCTGTTGGTGTTTTATTGTTATCAATTAGATGATGATGAAATCATTTTTTATTAAAAAAGTTTTAAAGAGTACAATCGATGCGTAGGAATTTGATTAAATTATAAAAAAAAACAATTATTATTTCTTTAAACAGGTAAATTATTAGAAGAATATTCTTTGCTTACCGCGTTCTCTTCTTTCAATATATTCGGCTGCTTGAAGAAGATCAGCAATGCTCATAGTTTTACTTGGTTTTTGACCAGCAAAAAAAAAACAGAATTATTTTCGATTGAAAAAAAAAAAAATATATTCGGATCGACCGAAATTTTTTTTTTTTTCGTTGTGAAGATAGAATCACAAAAACATAGAGGACAAGAAAAGTTTGGTTGGTTGTTTTGAATTGGAAACAAAAATTGAATTTGAACTTAGTGAATTGAAAATGGCATATGTAATTGGGTTTTTTGTTTTTGCTTGAAAATCGTTGATCAATCACAAACGCAAGGAGCCAATGAGAATTTTTGAAATTCGAATCAACGATTCAAATGGTCGATTCAAAGAATTTTGACAAAAAATTCGTTGAAATCTAAATAAATAAATAAATGAGAAACACAACGGGATTGATTTACAGTTTTTTGATTATGGAATTTTTTTCTTCTTCGGGATCAATATAAACCAGGAGGGACCAGAGTTTGTTTTGTTTTGTTTTTTTTCAGTTTCAAAGATTCAACAATGATGCTGAATAGTAGCCATGATTATAATAGCCAAGTGAAGAATGATGATCATCATTGACGAAAAATAATAATAATAAAAGAAATAACAACAAAAAACACACAGTAAGAGAGAGAGAGAGAGATACAACCAAAAAAAAAAAGATTGAAAGATATAGAGGGAGAGAAAGAGATTTTTTTTTTTTTTTTTTAATTTTTTGCGATTGCAGCGTCGTTTTGTGTTTTTGTTTGGGATACATGGGGGGGGGTCTTTTCGTTC